CTACATATTTTGAAAAAAAATATTTTCTATGATTTACATCAACAAAAAATGGATTTAAGAATGAAATGTTCCCAGGTAAAAAAAGGGAAATTTTATCAAAGATACTTTCAATGATTCAATTTCAATACTTAAGGTAATAAAAATGTAAAAAGTATATAAGAAAAAAAACAGCCGTTTCAAAACAAGTATGTTAAAATATAGCTTAAAATATACATACAGTTTAGATAGGTTTTAATATATCAATTAATTCTATTATATTCCTCGAATCTATCGAAAAATATATGGTTTAAAATGGTTCCTTTTACTCCTTTATATACATAAAAAAACTTACGGTATTAAAATACTACCTCTGAGAAAAAAATCCAGAAAAGATCTGTGTAATTCGTCCTTCTTGTTTAAAGAAAATCACCAAAAATGAATTAAATAGTGTAAAAATGAAGTGTTTTGCGGCAATATTCCGACACTTGACGTTTGCTAGGTAACCAATTGACGAAAATGTCCGAGTTAATTGATAAATGTGAAGTGTCTCGCACTCACCTTGGCAATCTTCGGTCAGGCTCTCCATTGTGTCCAGGCGACCAGAGCAGCTCTCAGGATACTGCATTCCATAGCCCGGAGACACTCAATCTAGCAGCGAAACGTACAACACTACAACCAATGTCACTAACGCGTGCAAATATCAAATACAACCCTATACAAAACTACGTGCAGTTTTGACCATAAGGATATCGATTTGATTTTATTGAAATCAATCTTTTTACAAGTTTCGATCGTATCATGTGTAGCTTTACTAGAAACGAAAATCAAAACGTAGTTTGAATGATTAAACATGTCCATTTGTAGTTTGGAAATAGCAAAATGTGTAACTTTACTGAATTATAATGTAATTTCATTTCCTATTTCAAAGTTTTATAAAATATTATAATCTAATCTTCTTTTGGTTGGTATACGAACTGTAATATTGTGTCAAAGTAAAAAAATGTTATTTCTGAAGGGTATTTTTTTTCCGATTTTTGTCTCATCAGTAATTTACGTTTAAATAACGTTGATACATATGCAATGTCCAAATTCATGTACAGCAACGAAACCTAAGTGATGATTGGGTAAAGGCTCGATATTATAATACTGCAAGTTTGTAACTTTATCTTTCACTGGATAATCCATATATGTCTATAGAATTAAACTTACATTCAGTCCCAAAATATGTTTAAAACCATTTTGACAATTGTTAGGAAATGTACGAACTTTATATAGTATTTTCTAGTTTTAATTTATGCATCCCAAAACATTCTACGCCAAAAGCATTTAAAAAAAAACTTTTGGGAAAATTACTGTCATTAACCTTTCAAATAATGGGACCGAAAGTTACTAGCCTTTGTTACCAGTATAGATAAACACCAGTTTGCTCTCCAGGCTCTAAACTTTAGCTGACCAACTTAAAAGTTTCATCTCGATATCTAAAAAGTATGATTGTAGACAGTTCCAAAATGGACTCTGGGAAAGTCCATCGAAGAAATTACACTGGTTATTGGTAAACCATCAAATAAGACCAGATACAGTGCATGATAATAGTCTTAAAGTGTTATTTTTGAAATTATTTTAATGCCCTTAAAATCTTAAACTCATATTGTAAAAAAACGTACCCTCATATATCTAACGACAAAAGTCAATTCCATATCTTCATTAAGCTTTTTTAGACTGTACCAGATTTTAAAGATTATTTAAATGCACCCAAAGATCAGAAAAGATCAAAATATCAGATAGACACTACATTTATTATACGCAAACATGAATTGTTCAGTACTTACCTGTCCGTTGTTCTTTTCTTTCCTGGTCCCGTGGAACCGTTGATTCGTATACTTAGTATAGTTTAGAAGATGTGTACCGCTTGAACCGGTGCTATGGGGCATGGATGGTGTTGCATTTTTATTACGTTTACATACTGGTTAAAACCAAAAGTCTTCAATTTTTAACTTTATTTTTGTTTTCGTTGCTGTCGACCGTTTCCAGAATTTCAAGATATGAAAAGTTAGAACTTTGATTATAACTTGCTATACTGAACCAAATAAATGGCATAAGTTCAGCTAAATCAAAGCAATTATCTTCAAGGAAACCTACATTTAACCTTACGCCGATATCGGCATGTGTAATGACAAATAGAATGAAACAAATGAGAACTTCATTCATTCATTCATTCATTCATTCTTTCATTCATTCATTCATTCATTCATTCATTCATTCATTCATTCAAATAAAATGTTTTTCCATAGAAAAAAATGCTCTATATACAAAATTGTAACTTCTTTGCTTCAATTTCCATATAAAACATGTTGTTTTATTTATTTTTTTTCAAAGAAAACATAGTTTTTGGACCAAAAATGTCAAATTGGTTGAATATTTCATTCCTATGAATCATTTGTATGTTAATATGAAATACCAAGTGTTCTTTATTGCGGGTATTTTTTGCACTGTTAAATGCTAAAAAAAGAGACATCAAAATAATTTTTCGTGAAATCATTTCCTTTCATGTTTTAATAATCTTTTGTACTAAGATTTCATGCTACCTGTCCGACTGATTATGTTGCAATGGAGAATTGAAAAAAGTTTAAAACGGAAACACAACTTTGATTTCATGTGTTGCAAAAGTCAACATGGCTTTGAAATAGATGCTGTAATATATTCATCATCAAAAGTCAACTTCACACTGAGCATATCAATTTTATTGTAGTTTATAAGTCACCGCGAAGATCACATTAAGCCAATATTACCCTCATCCATTTTCAATTTGTGTGAATTATTCTTAACCAGCGTCAAAGTTTGTAATAAAATTACAATTTCTCACTCGATTGCATCTTGAGAACATATTCTATTCACAGGATTAGATGACAAGAGTCCCGGATGAAAAGCTTGATTGTAAAAATCAGTCTCGTAAAGACGCTCGCGTTAATCAAGCGTTTCAACTCTCATTTTGCAGACGAAATAAATGAATGTTTGATGAGAATGCGGATTATCAAATCAAGTAAAAATTCGCTGTTAAGACATTTTTTTTTTACTATAAACATTTATTATTTTCAGCAACAAACGTGATATTTGACGATGTCCTTTTACCACATGTTACAATATCCGGGATTAAAATTTTAGAAACTATTCAGCTTAAACACATAAACTTTTAATGGTATTATCTTCCTGGTTCGAGATTTTCTTCGTGATTGGAGCATTTTAGCACCAAATATGTTGTGCAAAATGAAAGTAAATAACAACAGTATTCATAAAGTTAATTTATTTTTGACATACATTTGTATATGTACACATAGATAATTGGCATTGGAATTATTAATTAATTGATTACATAAAAGAAGAATAAGGGACGATTCTCTAAATATATTTTTATAGGCTATCAAATGTTGCTTAATCTGTTGTAGGCCTCCCAAAGTTATCACTTTCTAAAAGTTTTAAAAGTTGAATTTAAAAGAATGGCACAATGTTTATTTGACTCTCTATACATTTGCTTAATGCTGAAAACTTAATGTGTTGTCGTTCTTAAAAATTAAGTTAATAAGAAACATTGCAACTTATAGACATCTATCAAAGGGCAGGAAATGAAGTTATGCACACATTGGTTGAAGCAGCGAAATGGTTGCAAACTTGACAAAATGGTTACCGAGTAATGTAAATTTATAACGCCTGCACGTAGTTTGCCTTTGCCCATCTAAGTCGGTTTGTATGTTATTTTTAAATATGCCCAATAAGTTCAAGGCAGTGAATGCACGGTCTGTCTGATGCTGTAGTCATAATGAAACTACAATACGAAACTATGTCTAGTTAGTTTTGATTTTTTTTTTTGAAAATGGATTCGATTGTTTATAAATATATTTACAAAAATGTCAAAATTATCTTGTTATGATTAATCGGTCATGAATATTCATGATGTAAAAATTAAGTATTTTTAAGACGGTACAAGACGATCAACATACATGAGTATCTGGGTCATGTGCCAATGACAGAGACAATCACGAAGACGCCCGTTGATTCATCTTACTGCACGTGTTCTTGCTCGTGCCAGATATCATGGCTCGGATTTTGATGGCAGAATTGCAAAGAGTACACAAAATTAAATGATTTTGAACATTTAATTGTATTTTTCATGAATTAATGAGTTTGAAGCAATATGATAGATAATGGATAAAGATATGTATGTAACGTATGTGACGAAGATTATGCATTTACATCTGAAACATGAACATATGTACAATGACTATAAGGCAATAAATCTAGAATATTGAATATATATGTATTCAGTTTACATCGGTAAATATTTCACATTTACACGTGCACATCTTTCACTGTAAAGACTAAAGACACAGATCTACAGTTCAATTAAAAATGGATGAGAAAGGAAGAGTTTGAATAAAAAAAGGAATCATATAAATTTTGCTTTGATGAAAAATGATATGAAGTTTTCAGTCTTAATCCAAATTTAGTGCTTTATATCAATGGAATATTCAATAGAAATTGAAAAATATGAACACTATTTTAAGTAGTTCAATTGTATACACATTAGACGACGTCAATCGGCTACCGTGGTATCCTTGGTCGAACTAAACATTGACCGGAAGTAAAGTGACGTCATTATGTGCCTGTGTTCGACCAGTCTGAAACAGCATTTCCTTTGGTACAAAGATGGCGGCGAAAGATAGCAGGTGCGCCATATTTTTTATGAATTTAGTTGCATCTCAGCCATGTTGAAAACCTACGCAGCAACGGAAGTACGTATAATTAACTCCTTGACCAGACATGCGCATTTCAACTTCCGTAAGCAGACAAAAGTTCGTGATCAAATTCGCTCGTACCAATTTGGTTAGAGGATGCTACACAAATAAATCCTGATTTCATCTTTGGCTTATAATTTTTAAATACAAAGAACAAACCACTGGAGTAGACGAGATAGTAGAAATTGTATTTCTTTGCATTGAATAAGTTGCAAAAGTTCTAGTGAAGTGTTTGTTTGTTTTTTTTACTAAAGTGGTTAAAAACGGCATGAAGGTAAAATGGCTAACACAAATGAAGAAGTGACGTAACGGCAAGCATCAGAATGGTAGTTATACTAAATGTTAATAAAGATGAACCACCCGCTGTACTAGGTCTGTCACTGACGAAGTAACTGGACTCTGAAAAGAACACAAAAATACATAAACAAGATTATAAAATTTCCAAAGTTCGAAAATGAAAAATAAAATCACATACAAATGAAAACGTGAAAAAGCCGCATAAAGACAAGAAAATTTGAAGTTATGTTATTCCTAAATTCTTTACTGTCATACAAATAAATACTTGAAAGTATGATATGAGCTTCAAAACTGTGGAATACAAGAAATGTGCACATCAAGCAAAAACAAACACATACATATTATCATAAAATAACTGTATATTATGAAACAACTTTAATGCATGATACAATGCCTATGTGGCCAAAAAAGACAAAATCGGTTTACTAGTAGCAACAACAAAAACGTTTGGGCAAAGATTAAATAAGGCAACTTTAACCGGATTAAAATTGCATTAGGTGTATGACCTAAAATCCATTTGCAACTAGCCATCAAAATGTCAAGTGCAAGCATAACAAACACGTGCAAATGCTTCACATGGTCAATGATAAAAGTTCAGAACCAATCTTGTATCCCTTTTTAGGACTGCAGCTTATACGCGTTTATTTGACTTTTAGTGGCACAATACCTTTATAATTGAATTTCTAGTTTCACGAATTAAGAATAAAATGTTCACCTGCAAGAGTTACAAAATTCTCTCCGTTTCCTTCCGAATTTTCAGCATAACATCTGTACTTGCCAAAATCATTGCTGTCTATGTCATGGATGATCAGTTTCATCAGTACAAAGTTTGAGCCAAAATAACTCTCGAATGTGTACCTAAAATTAAAAAAATTATAACATGTCATGCATTTTTCCTCTGAGTATTAAAAATAAGTAGTTCTAGTAAATACTTATATTACATAGGGATAAGAAGCTCTAAAAATAGAAAAAATTTCAAATCCATCCGGACCCATAATCCCTTGGGCGAGATTCATTGGTCATTGAAGTTTACAAATTTCCGCCATCTTGTTTTACGTAACCAAACGTTTTTACATGTCCATCCATAACTGAGAATAATTTAATATTTATCACTTTTATACATTCTTCGTATTCTTTTTATTACTTCTTTTGATTACCATAAAAAATTTCAGATAATATGGCGGCATGCATATCGGTAAATTTTCTCGTGCCAAACACGGTCTCGGAAAGTCTCGCGAAAATGTGAACTTGCGGGACAATTCCCCGATAGAGATTTCAACTGTATAACGTCATAGCTTCCGCTCCATTTAAACACTATTTCTTTTAATATAACACTGTGGCTCTAGAAACCTATTCAATTGATATGCAGCTTAAAGAAAATAAATAATGATAACATATGTCTGACTCTAAACTCGTGACAAGTGCTAATTACCACAGACGCTTGGGGGTCAGATCCTGCCCCCCCCCCCCTCCAACGTAATACGCCCCTGTAAACACTCTATCAAAACTATTTTAATATTTAAACACGAATGGGGCATCTATTACAACGATAAAACTGGTTTTCAAACAATTTTTACAAAAATACCATATACCATCTTGGGTCAGGATCTGACCACAAGCGTATGTGCTAATTACTTCGGTTCCAGTAGGCAATGGGTTCATAGATTCATAGATATATGAATATTCAACCGCGATATAATAATGTGGGCTAGCCTGCTAATTAATTATGACGTTTTAATTGTGTGCGTGTGTGTTTTCTTTTTTTTTTGGGGGGGGGGGGGGACTGGGTGTACAAAGGAAGTTTCTCCTTACTTGTTATTGTCGTCAAGAGGGACACCGTCTTTGTTCCACACGACCTGTTTTACTGTCGATGGTGGGTTGCCCGAAACCTCACATTTAAGTTCCCGGCTATATCCAACTGCCTGATACACATCCGGTTCCTTAGCAACCAGCACTGGTGCAACTGAAATTAAAGAATCAGAAATTATGGTAATTTAATTTTTTTTTAGTTTTTTTTTTATACAATTAAGATAATAATAAATTATTTTGCTCCTTAATAAAATCTGGAAAAAGGGTGATCCCTCGCATGCAAAGAAAACAACAAAATCACATGATAATTGCAGACTATGTTTGATTATGTCTGTTCATGAGAGATTGAAGAAAAACCCAACATCTCTCACGCCCCCCTCCCCAGCACCGGCTAAAGCGGAATCCAATCTTCAATACTAAATGTGCCTGAATCTTTAAATGATCCCGAAGGACAAGACAAACTTGACAACACTGATAAATCATTTCAAAATAAAGCATTGATTAGTATTGCTGACGTCTAAATCGTGACGTTTAAATTTGAATCCGAGATACGTAAACAAAATGTTCTCACTGTTGAGCTACTGAGATACAAAAAATAATGCATGCATTATATATTTCCTGCTGATGAAAATTTTTACGTGAACTTGGTGTAGTATCAACAAAGAAATGTGTTTTTATTTCTGTACATTGATTTACTCAGTTTTCATTTCCATAATACGATGAATGTGTTAACTTCAAGTCAATACAAACTTCAGTACTTATGTTTAAGGAAATCGGTGACAAATTGGTAAACGGTAACGGTAACATCTTTTGATAAATACTGATGAATAAATTCATAAAGCAACGTAATGATTGATATACATGTCAAGACATGCTCATCAAATTTCAGTTTCTACAGTCGGCATATTGACTTCTAAACTTTGCTGAATTAATTAAATAATTTGTCCTTTTTTGCTCATTCTGTAAATGTCAATTTTCGAGGATATCAAGATGAATGTTTAAGTTAGCCAGCCAATTAGTAAAAGACAATCGGAGCACATCGATGATTATTCTGACGAAGGGCCAAAAAGTTCAGATTTTGCAGATGAGATCCCATTTGGAACATCACGGCTATTATCGATAAAAACGTTCTTATCCTAAGTTTGACGAAAATGGGCCGAAGTTAGACGGAAATGGCCGAGAAAATGCTGGTGATACTGCACGGAAATACAGACTGACGTTCCGCTGTTAGCATGGTAAGGATAAATGAGCCGTGTCACGACAAACCAACATAATGCGTTTGCGACCAGCATGGATCCAGACCAGCCTGCGCATTCGCGCAGTCTGATCAGGATCCATGCTGTTCGCTTATAAATCCTTACAAGTACCGAAACTGATAGCGAATAGCATGGAACCTGATCAGACTGCGCGGATGCGCAGGCTGGTCTGGGATCCATGCTTGTCGCAAACCCACTATGTTGGTTTTGTCATGACACGGCTGAAATAATGAAGGAATATGGTATATTCATAATTTCATATTGTATACTCACATTTGACATTCAAAGCTATACGTCTGACATCTTTTCCCGCTATATTTTCAGCCACACATTTGTAATGACCTTTTTGATGTCTGTTAACATGGTCAATAGACAAAGTTGGTGACTGGAAGTATAATAGATTATATAATCTAGAAATAAAGTTAAAACAAAATGTTTTTAAATTGAGAAGTCATGTTAATTAATTAATTCATTCATTCATATAGTATGGTAAAATGAGGATTAAGTTAAGAATTATTCAAAGAATAAAAATAATTGCATGGACGTAGCTAAAAATAGAAGAATAATTCCTCAAGCTGGATGATTTTTAAGATAACAGCTGATTGTGGTCTTTTAAATACAAAAAGAAACTTACTAATATTTTTATTGCTTTCAATTTGAAAAAAAAACAAAACAACAAAGTGTTAACGAGTTAAAGAGTCACATCCGAGGTATTTTGACATAATAGGACTGGAAATATTTTTCCGAGATTTTTGTACCAATTGATGTAGGTCTAGGTCAGTTATTTGTGTGCACATTTTAAGATTATTCCTTCTCTCCGTTTTTCTATCATTTCTATAGTACAAAATTACCAAAAAATTAAAAGCAAAAATGAAAAGCGTTGCAACGCTTTTCTCTCAAAACCGGCTTAGATTTCTGCAAAAAATCGATTTCCAATTAAATTCTGAGTTCATCTTTTGCTATCATTTGCACATTTGTCCATTTTAAATAATTCACTTGATATTCGTTAGATTTTGAAAGTTTATGTTTAAGGCAGTTGGACCTCAGTGGTGTTTCCTTATAGCTTTTGATAATAATAAAAAAAATCGGGTGTTAATAGACTTACGACGTATTCCCGACCACCCGTCGGAAGTAAGCCACCTCCAGCAAGCTGCCATTTTATTAGAGGTTTAGGAATACCGTTTGCTGCACATTTAAAAACCATGCTATCCCCCTCCTGTCTTGTTGTATCCGAACTTGTGTATATGTCGATAATTTGTGGTTTCTCTGTAATGTATTGTTATATGAAAACATGTACATGTTTAACGCAAATATATAAAAATCAGTTAACATCGTTAAATACCATTCAAGCTGGAGAACATGTTCACCCAATCATTTTTATTGTTCTTTCTTACCTAAAATCATTTTTAAAGCCAAGTACTATATATGTGTGAGTTTTGTTACTTCATCTAACTGATAGTCATTCTTGTAAAATAAGTTATTGTAATTTATTGCATCAGGGAAGACCCGTTGCTAATGTTGAGAGAACTTGTGGGTCAACCCTTTTGCCAAATATGTCATGTCATTGTATTGTAACTGTCTACATGTATGTACATGTATATGTCTTATTTTTGGCAATAGAATATGTTTCAATCATGTTTAAATCATATGAAAACATGAGAAATGAGCCGCGTCATGACAAAACCAACGTAATGCGAAAATACGAAAATGTCCAAGTACAGTATATACATGTACATAGAATCACTGTTGTCGACGCATTGAACTGTTGTCTGGGTTTCCGGCAACAAACCGTGAATAAAACTATCCATATACTTACGTATAACTTTTACCATCCGGCTAATGTTGTCCATTTGAAATCGACTTTGAAGTTGAACTCTACAGATATACAAGGCTTCATCGGACGGCTGGACATTCTGAATCTTTAGTCGCCAATTGTTAGTTGCGGGCTTATCTAATTGATACTTGAATGAGTTTTTCGTGTCCGTGTCAGTGGAAATTGGAATAGTTATGTTTGTGTTGAAGTTTTGGACTAGCCATTGTACCTGCAGAACGAAGAAATGGGTTACTAAGTTACAATTCAACCGACAATTGTTGTTAATATTGTCTTCAAGTCCACTTTTATTGAAAGGAGAAACAAACGTTTCCATTTAATAATAATAATAATAATAATAATAATAACGGATGATGATGATGATGATGATGATGATGATGATGATGATGATGATAATAATAATAATAATAACAATAATAATAATGATGATGATAATAATAATAATGATGATAATGATGATAAAACTCTTTTTTTAACGAAGGTAGCATAGTATGATATTACAGATAAAACAAATATTCCCAAATCTTATTCAATAAACAGAAAAAATAGAAAATAGACATGTTAAAAGTAATTACATGCACAATGTATAAAGATCATACAGACATTATATCATATATAATACAAGTATACTGTCTCTAATTCATCTTTTAATAATAAGAAATGCTTGAAATATTACTGAAACAATTAAAGAATAGTCTTGTAGAATTTCTTATTTATAAAGGAATAGGGACTAGAATAACAAAACTGTTCATTTTAGAGACTAGACTCTGATGCCAATTTCAATCGTAAAACATGAAGTTTATTTATTCTTTTGTTAAATATGTCATTATTTTAAAGAGGGCATTTTATTTTCGTTAAAATTGTTTGTACGTATATGTAAATCATTGTAAAAGGTAAGTAACATTCAGAAATACTGTTTTGATATACATGTACATGAATTTAAGAAACTTGACGAACAAAACTATTTGGAGTCTAAATGTGAAACGTTGACGTCAGTGCTTATAACAGAAGAAAATTACTAAGTTATTGTATAAATGAAGTGTTTTATATCATTTCCTTTTTGTAAATTAATATTAGGCACATTTCCCCTCAGAAATAAGTATGTTTTTCTTCTTTAGAAAAGGTCAAACATGTGTTTTACGCCACATGTATTTTGATTAAGAATTTAGAGCATGTTGGACTATTATCACCTTAGAATAGTAGTGCCGAGTGTGTGATATTTTTTCATGAAAGAAGCCAAATGTATATAAAGTGGTATTTTGACTTCTATACTTAACACAAAGTCACTATTACTGTACTAAATTCCAAAGTTGAAAAAGGCCAAAGCCAGACCAGCTATACTGTATGATCATACAGTATTTATTTCATTTATTTTGGGAAATACTAAGTTTTTTGTTGTTTTTGTTTTTTAGTAACAAAAGTTATATAATTTGTTCGGCTCATTATCCTCATGGTCAAGTTATTAAGAAATATTTAAAGCTATTACGTCATGAACAGAACAGAACAGAAATTTTATTTCGTAACGTATACACATATTAGATATGCACGTGATTTAAGTACATGTATATTTGAGAATGAACCTATATGAATGAATAGCTTATATACATCATGGTTGGACAACAGATATTAACTGAAATGAGCTGAATTGAACGGATGGACTATAAAGGTTTAACATACCGGCATTCCCTTTGGCTTTTTATCAACAACACAAGCCAAGTAAGCATCTTTGTCTTTCTGTACGACAAGTGTTGGGTATCCGTCAACTTTAGTGGTGTAGGGGAATGTTTGGTCCAGATAGACGGTAGGGTCGGCACATAACACTGTTGTATGATGAAAATAGAAAGGAAAAACACGAGAAAATTAATATTATGTACATTAATATAATACTACAGATTCCCGACATAGCGATACAGCACTGATATTGAAGATATTATTATTATTATTATTAGAAAGGAAAAAAACATGAGAAAATTAATATTATGTACATTAATATAATATTACAGATTCCCGACAAAGCGATATATATAATTATTATTACTATTATTATTATTATTATCATTATTATTATTATTATCATTATTATTATTATTATCCTCACCATCATCATTATTATTATAATCATAATCATTTTTATTATCTAAGGAAATTTATAAGTTCATGTTATAACAAGAAATACCGTGCAAAAATCTCACCGTAGTTCTAAGCTCTACGGAAACGGTCTGAGAAGGTTCGGATGAAATGAGCAAATTACACTCAGGTTGTGTGGAAGCGGAGAGCTATTATATCATGCATGTATCATACCATATATAGATAAACAATGATGCTTTGCAATATAGGCATTTATGCGTACTTTTAAAGTAGGTCAGGATTCTATTTGAAAAGTCACTATATGTGAATTTCATTATACATGTATTAAGGTGGCATTTTTTGTTTTAAATTAAACTTAAAAGTGCAAAAATGATGAAAATCGTAATTTCTGATCCAATTTAAAATATTCATCCGCCACCACACATCCTGAACGGTGTCCTCTCCCCCTCCAAGGTGTCCTTATAGAACAATCACAAAAAATACTTCTCAATCTATTTCGTACCCCTTTATTAACAATCATATAAAAACTATTTGAGAATGTTGATAACATATTTGCACCATATATGAATAACTTCCCTGAACAAACTGTGTAATACTTTTAGATATCAATCAAGCAGGAACATTCCTTTGTTTCTAAGATTGAAATACATGTTTTATTTAAAAAAATCAGATACTATTTCAAACGTAAACACTACATACCTATGTGAAATGTAAGGGTCAGACACAGGAATCCGCTGAAGAACATTTCCGAACATTCAGTGACTGAAAATTAGCTTAAAAATCAAAACATTTCGGCCATTTTTGTCTAAAGTTTTGAATTATTTTAGTACGGTAGTATTATGATTGGATTGCGTTATCTAGTGGACTGGCAAGCGCGGGTTGTAATCTTAGTGTCATTGCAGGCCACAACGAGATAACGTTGTTATCATTTTCATATTTAACTATTTCAAGTCAAGATAGACAACCCTTGTTGTAAGGGTGTTACGACATTTATTGCCCCTTATATTTATTACACGTATATTGACCAATTGCCTGTATCAATAAATAGTTGTAAGGAACGATTAAGGTCAGAGACAAAATTTAAAAAAGAAAAAGAAAAAAAAATACATTTTGTAAATACATTTTGGTCAAAATAGTTTTTTTCTTTTGTTTTTTGTTGTTTTTTTTTTTGGGAGAGGGGAGTTATTTTATGGGTTTTTTTTCACTAATGAATGCCAGTATATAGAAACAAAACGACCGGGTTACGGAAACATAGTTGTTTTTTCAGAGACGAAATGATATAACAACAAGAAAATATCGCCTAAAGATTTCTTAAACATGAAATTGTTCTACACATATATTAAATGAAATCAATATGGAACGTTGTTTTTCAACAAACTTATTGATTTCACAGAATTAATATTCCGGAAATTGCAGACAGATTAAGTTCTTTCGAAGAAATGACCTGTTGTTCAAAGTGCAAATAAAATAGTATGCGCCAGTGCACGACTTCGTGTTTCAAACTCCTGACCTATTTTAAGACTTAGTTATTTGTCTGATTCCGTTGCGGATTCGTTTTTTTCCGTTAGTTTAAGGGTCTTCTTTACAACAATAAAACGCCAAAAAACTTGAACCCTAGCAAAATGTCCGGGAGATATCCGCGTGACATGGTCGACTTTTTGGACCGGCGATTTGTTCTTTCTCGTTCTGTATATAAAGTGTACACATTTTCGTACCCCCCCCCCCCCCAAAAAAAAAAACACACACAAAAAAAACAATATTTCTCGAGCCAACCATTAAAACACCTTTTGTCAGACTCCGTTTCAGATTCGTTTTTCCGTTAGTTTGGAGGGTCTATTTTACTGCCATATGCATATAAGGCACAAAGCTCTAACCCAATCAAAATGTCCGGAAATTATCCGCATGGCGTGGTCGTTTTTATGAACGGCGATTTGCTCTTTCTGTAAAATTTTCTTATAAAAAGCAATACTTTCTTCGAGCCGTTTTAACATCATTTGTCTGCTTCCATTTTTGTTACGAAATTTTCTTTACATTATAAATCCGTTCCAGAAAATGGCGTTACTTCACGAAAATTCAAAAATTATATTGTATATTCAGAAAGGAGAAATCGCCGATCTGAAAAACGAACATACCACGCGGGCATCTCGATGGTTTAACCTTTATGCCTTATACTGCTGTAAAGAAGAACCTCAAAATTAATGCAATAGTTAATCCGCAACGGTATCAACAAATAGTGTTTTTGCCGGATCGGACCAGAAAAAGGTGTTTTGCTTTGATTTTACGCAAAATCACAATTTATTTTATGTACAGAAAGAAAAAATCACCGATCAAAAAAAAAAAAAAAAAAAAAAAAAAACAACAAAAAAAAAACGACCATGCATCTTGGGTTAGAGCTTTGTAACACCGCACTTTGGGGTTCAAACGCACTTTGGGGTCCAATTTCGACCCCCAAAGTGCGTTAAACAGGTACATATACATTTTTTTTAACATCAGGCAAATGACCGCACTTTAGGGTCATAGAGAATGAATGTTTATTATGTTTTAAATAATATATTGTACTCAAAACCAATGGTAAACAAAAAATCAGGTTATTAAATAGACGCAAAACATGTGCCCTTAATTATAGTAGAATCAATAGGGATTTAAATAGTCTTGATTAGTAAGTGAAGAACTTTCACCAACTAAATCACCAAATAAAGAATTTGTATCAATTATTAAGCTTAAAATATTTTTTTCTCAAATTTTCCATTTATTTTAAAAGAATGTACACCTTGCATTAACTCTTTTAAGCTAAATGCATTATTTTCCCGTATTTTATTTACACATTTTATAGAAATATGATAGTCTTTGCATAGACAAAGGTATAAATTCTATGTAATCTTAGTAAGACATTTCAGTTACAAATATGGGTCTGATAATATTTTATTTAGCTAAATGTGACATATAAGAAACTTGACTAGGTGTAGATTCGGCTTTCAGTAGTAGTCCGTACAAGCAGTACTAAAAATATCAACTAAAAGGTCTTGTTTATTATAGTGTCACCCCTACTGAAAGGGCCAGCCATTTTGACTTATGAGACACCTTTTGGTTGCATACCATGTACCTCCCAATTCCTACCACTATGCCAGGCGCCAGGCGGATAGAAATCGGTAACCATTCATTTTAACTACCTCGCGGCTCACGAAGCGGCCATTTCGGAACGAGTCCCACGAGAAACATTCATCCTTCAATTAAAGCTCCCCGTGGGGCTCGAAAAACAAAATACACGAAAATATGTTTCAATGGACTTTATTGGTAAAAATAAAATACAGAAACATTTTTATGACAACGATATGGTAAAAAATGAGTCGATGCCTAAGCAGAACACGAAACAAATGAAGATGAAAACAAACAAATAAAGCAAAAAGAAATAAAAGAGACACAAACAAACAAACAAACAAACAAACAAAGCAAAGACAAACACAAAGAATACAAAGACAGAAACAAACAAAACAAAGACACAACAAAACAAATACACATACAAAAATAACACACACATAAACACACACACATGCACGCAGTTTCTTCTTCTTCTTGTACTCTGAAATTAAAAGAGTAAGCTTAGTGTGGTGACAATCAGTTTTACATATTTGTTTCAATGATTTATATTTTTAGGACTAAGATCCCACAAACCTCAGAGGGAAGCCGTTACGTATTAGTTCAACTTCAATTATGTCTCTTGATCTTTAGAGAGAGGGTAGAGCCCATCATGATAACGGCATATATGACAAACATGTATATTTTGTATCACAGGTGCTTGAAACAAACTTTTTTTTATGTTTTATATGGGCTATATTCTTTAATAAGATATCTTAATATACATATATATGCCGATTATGTAAAATATTTGTTTATGTGACTAGCGCCTGTGCTTAGTACAAAGTTCAGCTGATTTCAGCTTGGGACAGTTGTAAAATTTTTTTGAATTTATAATAATACTGTAATAGGCATAACGCAGTTTACATGCTTTAAATTTTCCAATTTCAAACTATTTCATACAAATAATATTATATGAATCTTACCTTACACGCTTACAGGTGGAAGACCGTCATCAGTGACGTCACATCCGGTTATGCCAAATGCTTCTGTAAAAAGATACAGAACGATTATTATGTGTACTATAGAGCTTTTGTTTAAAGCACAACAAGTCATGGCAGAAATTTTGTTGTTGGTCGACTCGACGCATTTTATTTCATTATACCCAAAAGTTGCGAAGTTATCCCCCCTTTTCATTGGGTTTTCCGTCGCACCAACACAATATATAGGTCATATGGCGGCTTTCCAGCTGTATTAGTGGAGGAAGACCGCAGACGCTCTTCTATGCGTCATTTCAGGTACAGACGAGCACTTGAGTAGAACCACCAACGTTCTGTAAACTTCTTGCACTGAATGCTTGTAAAAAAATTTTGTTTGTCACAAAATATTCATCAACAACACTTACCCTTGAATTCTTTGATAGTTTTAGCCTTTCTAATAGCAGACTGGTTGATGTCGGCATATGTCACAATATTTGACAGGCTCTCCGTGACAGCCATATCAGCAATTTCTGTGAAAGAAAAATATTACTGTCATGTGCATGTACACTTAAACAATACTTTAAATTAAAACAAGAGTTCACTTCACAATTGTTATCCGGCTAAAACCGTTGCTTGGTACCTGCCGACAACTACCGGAAACAGGATGTCAATTAGCTCATTAAGTTACCGGAAGTCAAGATAAAAACAAACAAGTTTCAGTAAAAAAAAAGAGTGAAGCTGAAAACATGACCACATATAAAGTACATAGCAAGGATAAAACTTGTACTTCAACAGGTAAGACTGGGAAATGTTGTGGAGTCGTCATTTGATTGACTGTGATTAGTTAACTGAATTGCCGTGAACTGCCAGGTTATATCTGAAGCTGGCTTATATGCTTCTTACACAACCGGTTTTCTTGTCATTAACATGAATGGCCCCTTAATGTCCCTTATAAAAATCTTAGAATGATATTCTTTTATTAGGTTCATATTCGTGAATTCCGTAAAAAGGTATGGTAAAATGATAAACACACTTTTTTTATGCACAGGGCAATTTAATCTATGAATCGAAGGGAATTTGACTATTGGATTTTCTAACACCTTGTAAAGGCCAAATCTTTAAAAAAAAAAATAGACAGTCATAGGTAAAATTCCGCCTAAAGGCCGTCAAGGCGCTGTCCTTGTTCATTTCGGCACTTAAAAAACCACCGTATTAAATCTGACATGAAGTGCAGGGACAAGATAAATATAATGCCCCGCTCATTTTCCCACCTCCTTCGCCTGGTATCCGGTTATACAACTGACTTGTGCATAAAACAAATCACTTACGGCTTATGATACTGGAGGACAATGATATGTTGTCGTCTGCTGGCCTCACAGTTACAGTCGTTGTGTTGCTAGGCAACTCCTGTCTCAGACTGTCGGCTGCCTTGTTTATGATGCTTGTCACGTATTCTGCAACTAAAAGATTTGGTAAAACTTTATTATAATGTTGTAATAATGGTTCAAGAGCAGGTTAGACTTTAGAATTTTAGATTCAGATGCTTATCAACCGAAAAGAATAGATTTGAAGGGAAATAATTTGTCATAAATGAAGGAAAGGGTAGTCAGGCTGGTAGTTTGACTTCCAGCAAAATACTTAAGCCAAAAGTTCAACAATTGCCAAAAGTTCAAAAGATGCAAAAGATTTCTCAGCGTTTTGGCAAATGAATATTTATAAATAGAAAATGTAAAAAAAAACACATAAAATTAAATTTAAAAAACTTTTGAAAATAGAAAATAATGCATTTTTTAGGCTTAATGGTTGTTGTTGTTATTGTCATATATATTATCAGTATGCCTTTTAAGTAGACGATCGGTTCTAAAGTAGATGAAAATGTGCGTTAATAATTAAGGCACATTAAACAAAATGTTTGGAAAACTTTATAGACTATACTCTTTATAGAATTTAATATTATTAATGAAATTGTAAAAATAATTACCAAGTATGTCGTCTGCTGTGTTATTGTCGTCTGCAATGATCTCTGTCACTGTTGTAATTTCTGTATCAACAGCATCGTCTGAAAATTAATAGGTTTCCGGATTTTTTTATTAGATTTCAAGTTACTTTTTATTCGTATTATAGAATTAACAGACTTAAAGACAGAAATGTTTCAAATGCTCGTGAAACTGAATATGACATTATTTGACTTGATACAACCATTATGTATTTATAGATACAACCATATGTATTTCTCATCGTCGGATACCCACGATTGATAAACATGTCACATAACATGCAATCAACCGTGGGTAAAATGAATCGATTTACGTCGATATACAGCAACAGGTGCGTAAAATATCTACCAATGACATCGCGTTTAACAAATCTATATTCTTCAACAGCGGAGGTAAAAAGCAATAAGAAACAAAATGGCAGCGCCCACGGTTTAAAACTGTTGTACGTGTCTTGCTAAAATCAATGGCAAAACTATCGCCAAATTAATTCTTCTGCAAGCAGATATCAATCAGAAAGGAAAACATCACTCTGTAAAAGTAAGTTATCTATACTTTCTTGCTCGAAATCGTTTAAATTTTCGATGTTGAACTTTTCACGTCGTCTATATGGTTGTCGCAATATTGTCTGTAATACCGAACGTCGGACAGAACGAGCGTTTTGATTGGTTTTAATCGCCTCATGAAATCGTGAGGCAGCCAATGAAATAGCTGCCTTTGACACACCTCTAATCGACTGAATATCGGCGAAAAATCCCACGGCTGATAAATGTTAATGGTTCGGCCGTGGGTATCCGACGATGCTGATAAATGTTAATGGTTCGGCCGTGGGTATCCGACGATGGTATTTCTATGTTTGGATAGTTTTTGATGTGCCCGAAGTGTCTTTGGCTGAAGAAATTGCTTGTTTTGGTACTTTTTATATTGCTTTATTGTTTTGTTTTTATTTTCTAGTATCATCATTGTATATAAGTATGCTGACTCACACAAACCAAAGTGTTTAAAAAATCCAAATTTCTTTTTATTTGTCAAACAAATAATAGAGCTGCGCTAAAATTTGAGAATTCATTTAGAAAATATAGTATATAACAAAATGATTTTACCATTCTTAGATGACAACTTTTGAGGAACGACTTTGTTTGACTTGCTGGCAATCTTTCCGACGACCATGTCGGCAGTACCTGTTTCATTTAACAGGGTTTCTGGGTCAAGAGTTTTGCCTCTTCTTGCATAGTATCTTTGGCGCAAGCGGTTTCGAAATCTTGCAAACTGTAAAAGAGACATGTCCATTAATGGTAAAACATTTTCAATATTCCTTACTTACACTAGAATATCTAGCTACTTTCATTAATATTTAAGTAAACCATTTTTTTTCTGTTTACAGCTATTCATCTTGATTATCATAAGAAAACATAACTTTTATTCGACATTAAAAATTGTAACAACAAAATTATAATCGATTTTCAAAAGTGAGACACGTGATTTCTAGACCTAGAAAAATATATATGTGAATGTTTAACCGAGAAGTTCATTGCCTGACGAATGCCAATCACATTAGATGATATATACTAAGTATTTGATTAGTATTTATACTCATATGTAGATAACAATATCATTGTACATCAGAAATGTATTGGCGGGGCGAGAACTCTGCAAGTGTGAATATACTATTTTTGTGCGAATTGTTTCCCTTCCCTTGCAAAAATTCGGATTACCTAGTATCGCGACAGATTGTGATTTGCAGCTATTACAATTACTTTATTTAGTTACTTTATCTAAAGTCATACAAAGCTTATGTTAGGACTTTAATTGATACAATTCATATGATGTATCATTCTGGAGGAAAGCAGATCGAAAGTCTTATTATGATAGAAACACTAATACTGTATCTTAATTTAATATATAGAAATTTTATTTCACATATGTCCTAATGTACCAATATATTTCACATATCTATGTTATTTAATATACGTTTAACCTGATACGCCAAGTTTTTACCATCGTATGTTACCCCTTTGTCCGTATATTTTCTTAAGAAATTATATGTTTCGGGATTTTCATCAAATATTTAATATCTATAATTTTCCTATGTATCGCCATTATATATTAACGATACTGGACATGTATAAAACCACTAAAATCTTAGAATTATAGTTGCATTAATTATTTCATCTTTCATTATTTGTCATCTCTTTATCCTCATCGATATCATCATCATCATCATCATTACTATTACTATTACTATAACTATTACTAACACTATCACTATCACTATCACTATCGTTATCGTTATCATTATTATTATTATTATTATTATTATTATTATTATCATCATCATCATCATCATCATCACCACCATCATCATTATTTCTTTATCATCATCATCATCATCATCACCATCATCATTATTTCTTTATTACTATGATTTCTATTATTATTATTATTGTTGTTATTATTATTATTATCAAATTCACTAAGGGAATTCGTGCTCCCCTTAATTATGCACAAAAACATTTAATTTATTATCTTATTTGAAACTTTAGATTGTTTTATCCTACTCACCCTTTCGTTGCAAGACTTCTTAAAACTTATGAGCCAAATAAAACAGCCTGAATTTTCGCTAGCCATTAATTATCCATGCTATATTTGTTAAAAAAAGACGTGGTTAAATTTTCCGGTCGCAATATGACGTTGCTAATGAGAAACGTCAACTTCTTCTGTGACGTCACCACGCTGCAAGTGTATGTCTATCGTTATGTTAAAACAACACCGAATACTAGGTAGCAACGAAAATCTTTCAAACATTCGGAACATCTCGGGCGACATCATTAGTGTTTCGTTACGGCTGTATTTGGAACACTTCGCTGATTACCAATAATTGTCTTTATTATACCCAAATATACCTCTTCCATAGCCCTTCAAGAGACAGGATAGACAATATTTTTTATGTGACGTCACCATTGGGCACATAATTTGATTTAGCTAATACAAGTTAACTCCGCTGTACGGAATTCCTTAAACGACAGCTTCTTTGTTGGCTGCCAAGTGAGAAATATGAATCTTTAATGAGAATTTTTCCAATTTAAAGAAAACAAATCAGTGAAACGTCAAGCATTACTATTCATTCAAGAAATTTGAACCATTCTTGAGTCATGTTAAGTTTTACATGAGGAAACATTGAGGGACTTGACCCCACTATACTGTGTTTGAGAGGCTGACATCTCGACTATTATGCAAATTTCTGTCAAGTTCACTGAATATATTTTTTCAAAACAGCGCAACAAGCTTAACTTGAATACTCTTATCTTGGATAGTATATTTCTCGCGACAATCATATAAAGAACATGGACGCCGAGCAGTCTATTTCTTTAAAAAGAGCCCAAAGCCCTAACTCAAGCAAAATGTACGGGAGATTTTCTTGGTGTATGATTGTAGTTTTTTATGCTCCCGGAAGGGTGATGTAATTATAATCGCCGCTTTGTCCGGATGTCCGTCCGTCCTTCTGTCCCCTTTTCTTGTCCGGGACATAACTCTGAAACAACAAAGTGCAAAAGGACCATAACTTTGCCATGCCTAATTTTGGAGCTATTGCCCTTTTTTGTTATTTTTTTTTCACTTTTAACTTTGTCCGGGACATAACTCTCAAACAACAAAAGACATCAACAAGAAATTTTGTCGGTAGATAGATCTTATTGAATGGAAGTGTAGTGCAAAAAAAACGTAACGCTGCCTTGCTTAATTTTGGAGTTAGTTTCTTTTGTTCATTTTTTACACTTTGACCATTCAGGACATAGCTCTGAAAGAATAAGAGATATGAACAACAAACTTTATAGGTAGATAGATCTCATTGTGAAGTTAAATAGTGCAGAAGAACCTTGCCCAATTGGAGTTATTGCCCTTTGTTCATTTTTTTAAAAAGATTTTCACTTTGGACTTTGTCCGAAACATAACTCTGAAACTATAAGAGATATCAATATGACACTTTGTAGGTAGATATCATAGGAACTCGAGAATGGGACCGCAGATTACGACGCATATTTTCGATCGTGTAACGGTTTTTAAAAACGTTTCTGTTACATCTTAATATCTTTTAGTATTATCCGAGTATATGGCCTCAAAAAATATATTATCAATTGAACCCAATCTGTCTCTTTTAAAACTGGTCAAATGTTACGGTATTATAAAAAAGTCAAGGAGTGACATCCGCCATTTGCCGCAACGTTTTCGGCATGAGTTTTTCCCCTTTGGCTACAATTGATAACTATTTTTTCAGAATTTTGTTCCCGTTATTTTTGTCAACTATCAGGTATCGTCCGGTGTTTATTGTTTGCATGTGTTGACATGTATAGGCGGCATTATAACGGGCGTATTTGCGTTTTGATTTGTTAACATGGAGAAAACTTTTGCCTAACTGAAAAAAGGAATATTAAAACATGATTCATAGATAAATATTTTAGGCACTCATCTGGTATTCATTACTAGGAAATGTGAAAGTTTTCCATGTATTGAGTGACATAAAGAGAGTATTAGAAAAATAAAAAAAAAAAATAAAGCATATCAAGGGGGATAACCTACGCTGAACGTTGCGGTAAATGTCGGATGTCACTCCTTTTCTTTTTTCAATATATATCGTAAATTCAACTGATTTTTAAATTAGAAGATTATATTAAATTGAGATTAGATAATTAAAGACCACCCGCTCGCATAATATGAAAAGATATTCAAAGGTCGGACAAACAATATGTAAAGCCTTTATGCGCCGCAATATGCGGTCCTTTTCCAGAGTCCGGGACTATGGTTTGATATATCTCATTGCGAAGATATGCAGTGCAAAAAAATCTTTACTCTGCCTTTCCAATTTTTGGAGTTATAGCCCTTTTTCAATGTTACGCTTTATGAACTTTATTCGTGACATTACTGTGAAACTACAAGAGGTATCAACAAGAAACTAAGTCGTTCAATATATCGCATTGAGTAGAAGTGCAGTGTCAACAACAGTAACAATGCCTTGCCTAATTTTTTAATTATTGCACTTTGAACTTTGTCCGAGACATAACTCTGAAATTACAAGAGGTATACTTTTCTCTGTCCAAAATTTATTCGGGGAGCATCACCCGATCTCTTTTGTTTTTATTTATTTTTGCATTTTTTCAAAGGCGATTTGTTCCTTCTGTATTTAAAGTGTAGTAATTTTATTTCAAAAAGAACAACTGTTTTCTCGAGCTAACCGTTAAAACTTTAATTGTTTTTCCATTATCAGTTTTGAGGGTCTTCCTTCCAACAATATAAGGTCCAAAGCCTGAACCCAAGCAAAATGTCCGGGAGATATTTTTTGACCGGCAATTTATTCTTTCCGTATATGAAGAGTAAATTTTCGTAAAGAACAATATTTTGTCGAGCCAACCGTCAAAATACTAGTTGTCTGATTCCGTTGAGGATTCGTTTTTACATTAATTTGAAGGGTCTTTCTTACTGCAATATAAGCCCAAAAGCCTTAACCCAAGCAAAATTTCCGGGAGATTTCTGCGTGGCATAGAATATAAGGAGTAACTGTATAAGCATTTTACAATCATATAAACAAGAGGGCCATGATGGCTCTAAATCGCTCACAGTCAGAATACTTGTTTATTTTGGTCTATTAAAAGAAGATTTTTTTGTATATAAGGATAATCAATGCCCCCTGGGCGAGGCCGATTTTGACCCAAGGGCTTTTTTCTATTAAATTGGTAGACACTTACTAGAAGATGTTTCATGCCAAATATCTAAGCTCTAGCTATTTGAGTTATTTTAAAAGAGGATTTTTTAAGTTTTACTATATACATATATGGAAAAACAATGACCCTCTTGGACGAGGCCAATTTTGACCCCAGTGCTCCCAGTGCTTTTATTTGAACAAACATTGTAAAACACTTACTAGAAGATGTTTCATGCCAAATATCTAAGCTCTAGCTCCTTGTTTTTTTAACCGAAGATATTTTCAGTTTATTTTTCTTTCGGTTGCCATGGCAACAAGTGTTTTGCATGGAATTAAATGCTTTAAACAATTCTTAAAGGTTACAACCAAAGGAACATTCCTGTGACGTTTGGATGAAATTGGCTAAGCGGTTTATGAGGAGATGTCGTTTAAAGTAAAAGTTTACGGACGAACGGCGGACGAAAAGCGATCACAAAAACACCATTTTCTGATGAGAATTGTTAAAACACCATTTGTCGTTGAGTTCGTTGCAGACAAACTTAAAGTCATTAAAAATTTTGATGTAAAAAAAATACACAAAAATATGTTTCAATGGACTTTATTGGTAAAAATAAAATACAGAAACATTTTTATGACAACGATATGGTGAAAAAATGAGTCGATGCCTAAGCAGAACACGAAAAAAATGAAGATGAAAACAAACAAATAAAGCAAAAAGAAATAAAAGAGACACAAACAAACAAACAAAACAAACAAAGCAAAGACAAAAACAAACAAAACAAAGACAGAAACAAACAAAACAAAGACACAACAAAACAAATACACACACAAAAATAACACACACACACACAAGCACACACATGCACGCAGTTTCTTTCTTCTTCTTGTACTCTGAAATTAAAAGAGTATTTCTTAGTGTGGTGACGATCAGTTTTACATACACATGTATTTGTTTCAATAAATTATATTTTTTAGGACTTAGATCCCACAAACCTCAGAGGAAAGCCGTTATGTCAATTATATCTCTTGATCTTTAGAGCGAGGGTAGAGCCCATCATAAAGAAGAGCTACAAGAATCATCCCTGAACTAAGAGGACTCACATATGAACAAAGATTAAGGGCATTGAATTTACCAACTCTTGATTACAGACGTCAACGTGGAGATATGATACACGTTTTTCAACTGATTCACAAAATAGACGATTTTGACTATGAAAAAAGTTATTCAAATTATCTGTTACAAATCATGAAATCCGGGGACATATTTATAAATTATAAAAGGTAAGACCAGACAAAATTCCTTCACTTTATAGAGTCGTAAACGAATGGAACCTACTTCCCAGTGAAATAGTTTTATCAAAGAATGTAAATGAGTTCAAATCAAAATTAGATAAACACTGGCAGTGGAAAATATATAAAATTGACAATATTTATTGAATAGACCAATACCGGAGCGGACGACAATGAAAACAGAACTCGGGGGGAATGATAGTCCGTTAGGGGACTAATAAAGTTTCCCATACATCACAAGGTATCACAAGGTATGACTAACGGCATATATGACAAACATGTTTGATACAAAGTTAAGCGACAGTTGTAAGATTTTATATTAATTCATATTAATACACTGTACTGCAGAAGGCATAGCGTAGTAAAGTTTACAAACTTTTCCATTTCAAACTATTTCATACAAATGATATTATGTGAATCTTACCTTACACGCTTACAGGTGGAAGACCGTCATCAGTGACGTCACTTCCGGTAATGCCGAATGCTTCTGTAAAAAGATACAGAACGATTATTATGTGTACTATAGAGCTTTTGTTTAAAGCAGAGCATGACAGAAATTTTGCTCTTGGTCGACTCGACGCATTTTATTTCATTATACCCAAGAGTTGCGACGTTATCCCCCTTTTTTATTGGATATTCCGTCGCACCAAGACAAAATATAGGTCATATGGCGGCTTTTTCCAGCTTTACTAATGGAGGAGACCTCAGGCGCTCTTCTAGAAGCGTCATTTCAGGTACAGACGTTATCCCCCTTTTTTATTGGATTTTCCGTCGCACCAACACAAAATATAGGTCATATGGCGGCTTTTTCCAGCTTTACTAATGGAGGAGACCTCATGCGCTCTTCTATGCGTCATTTCAGGTACAGACGAGCACTTGAGTAGAACCACCGACATTCTGTAAACTTCTTGCACTGAATGCTCTAAGTGTAAAAAAATTTGTCATAAAATATTCATAAACAACTCTTACCCTTGAATTCTTTGATAGTTTTAGCCTTTCTAATAGCAGACTGGTTGATGTTGGCAGCTGTCACAATATTTGACAGGCTCTCCGTGACAGCCATATCAGCAATTTCTGTGAAAGAAAAAATATTACTGTCGTGTGCATGTACTACTCATAAGTAAAACAAGAGCTAACTTCCAACATGGTCGCGTTAAAACGTGGCAAAACCGTTTATAATTGGTACCTGCCCAACAACTACCGGAAACAGGATGGCAAAAAGCTCATAAATTTACCGGAAGTCAAGATGAAAACAAACAGGCTACGGTAAAAAAAGAGTGAAGCTGAAAACATAAAGACCACATAAAAAGTATATAGCCAGGATAAAGCTTGTGCATGAACAGATAAGGCTGGACAATTTTCGTCATTTGATTGACTGTCAACTGAAATGCTGAGAACTGTCAGGTTATATTTGAAGCTGGTGTAACTGCTTTTTATACCACCGGGTTTCCTGTCATGATTTATATCATGAAAATGCCCTTATAAATATAACCTTAGAACGATATTCTTTTATTTGGCTTATATCCATAAAGTCAATTATATATTAAAGACAGCACTTGCTATATATGTCTACATGATTTATGTCATAAATGATGATGACCTTTGACAATGTAGGAAACATTTTATTTAATTCATAAACACACACTTTGTGTCATCCACGGGGCAATTTCATCCATAGCCCCTCCCCCACCCCCAAAGAATGACAAGTACTTTGGCAACTGGATTTTCTTACACCTTGTAATGATCCCACAATTTAATCCGGCTAAAGGCCACAACGGCGCTGTCCTGGTTCATTTTGGCACACAAAAAACACCGCATGTAATTATTTAATTTAAAGTGAAGGGACAAGAAAAATATAAAACCCCGCTCATTTTCCCACCTCCTTCGCCTTGTTTCCGGTTATACAACTGACTTGTGCATAAATCAAATCACTTACGGCTGATGATACTGGAGGACAATGATACGTTGTCGTCTGCTGGCCTCACAGTTACAGTCGTTGTGTTACTATGCAACTCCTGTCTCAGACTGTCGGCTGCCTTGTTTATGATGCCTGTCACGTATTCTGCAACTAAAAGATTTTGTAAAACTTTATTTAATATGTAATTGAGAATTTAGACATTACTTAAAGGCACAGTATATCTCTGAAATTGTAAAAAGAAAAACATTAAATGTCACGACAAAACCAACATAATGGGTTTGCGACCAGCATGGATCCACACCAGCCTGCGCATCCGCGCAGTCTGATCAGGATCCATGCTGTTCGCTTACAGACCCTATAACAAGTAATGAAACTGATAGCGAACAGCATGGATCCTGATCAGACTGCGCGGATGCGCAGGCTGGTCTGGATCCATGCTGGTCGCAAACCCATTATGTTGGTTTTGTCGTGACGCGGCTCATTTATTATAATATTGTAATAATGGTCCTAGAGCAGGTTAGACTTTAGAATTTTAGATTTAGATGCTTATCACCCGAAAAGAATAGATTTGAAGAGAAATAAATTGTCATAAATGAAGGAAAGGGTAGTCAGGCTGGTATTTTGACTTCCATCAAAATACTTAATCACAATTCAACAATGGCCAAAAGTTTTCAAAAGAAGCAAAAGACTTCTCAGCGTTTTGCCAAATGAATATTTATAAATAGAAAATGTAAAAAAAACACATAAAATGAAATTAAAGAAACTTTTGAAAAAAGAAAATTATGCATTTTTTAGTCTTAATGGTTGTTGTTGTTGTTGTTGTCATACATATTATCAGTATGCCTTTAAAGTAGACGATCGGTTTTAAAGTAGATGTAAATGCACGTTAAATTTCAATAATTAAGGCAAATTAAATAAAATGTTTGATCAGCTTTATAGACTATACTCGAACATTTCAATAGTTAATGAATTTGCGAGTCGCAATTAACTGAAGCAACACCGAAAAATGCCGTGTATATTTTCGGCGTTTTGACGAAATCGGAACAAAAAAAGAATTCTTTAGTATTTGATGTAATTAATGAAATTGTAAAAGTAATTGAGACAAAATGTATATGTTTACCAAGTCTGTCGTCCTCTGTGGTATTGTCGTCTGCAATGATCTCTGCCACTGTTGTAATTTCAACAGCATCGTCTGGAAAACAATAGGTTTCCGGATTTTTTTACTAGGTTTAAAGTTAGTTTGTTTCATTTTCATTCGTACTATAGAATTAATAAACTCAAAGACATAAATGTGTAAAAATGCTCGTTAAAATAAAAAATTGCATTATTTGAATAAAAAGAACCATATGTATTTATATATATGTTTGAAGTGCTATGTAACACCGCAAAACGTCCGTACCGCAAAACGTACGTATATGGGCGTATTGCGGCGCATATCGTCCACATTTTTCTGACGTACATTTTGCGAATAGCTTTTCATATAATTGCATCAAGAAGTGGGAACGATTTTTTGTGTTCTTGTTGACTGTGGAGATTTGGTTCTACCGTTCATTTTTACGGGGGATGGATAGGGGCTTTTGACAGCGTAGTCATATTTGAGCGAGAGGACTATATTGCCATGGAGATGGGGCCTTTAAGTCGCCTAGTCATAATTGAGCAAGAGAGTTTTTGTCGCGGGGGATGGGGTGGGGATGGGGGTGCATTTAGCCGCCTAGTCATATTTGAGAGAGAGAGAGCTTTTGTCGAGGGAGGGAGATTTTAGCCGCCTTGTCATATCTGAGTGAGAGAGCTATTGTTGTGATGGGGGGAGGGACTTTAGCCCCCTAGTAATAAATGCATGAATGACAACAAAGAAATGGCAGTTTTATCACAATTCAATAATTTGACTTTAAAATATGTCTTTATTTTTATAATTCAAAGGCAAATAACTCTTGACATATTCAGTCGTTTTAGCTTGATCGAGACCTCATTGTTATACATATTTTGTATAAAATACTTTAAGAATGGAGAAGAAGCGAAAGCACTAACAAGGTGATAATAATTGCGTTTTTTGTTGTTGCTTTTTTGTAAGATTTAGCCTATAATCTAACTTTGTTGAGATTTTATGGTCATAGATATTCTGTTGAAAATTGTCAAGATTGAAGAAGAAATGAAAGCGTTGGAGTGGTAACAATGTGAAATATAACAGATATTGTAATTCAAGGGCAGATAACTCTGGACATATTGCTTAGGGTATGTGGATGCTAGAGTGGTAACAAGCTAAATTTGGACGGACAGACAGACAGGCGCATAGTCAGGTGAGCTAAAATTAACACACAATAACACCGTATAATAACTGGTCAAAATTAACAAAAATTATATAAACTTTAAAATATCGACGTTATGCGGCAGGGCCATGCCTTTTTGCCGCAAAATGTACGTCAGAAAAATGTGGACGATATGCGCCGCAAAACGTCCTTATAATACTGCACGTTTGTAACGTCGCTTTTCATTGGATAACCGTGACGTTTAAATAGATTTATATACACGGCCGCTGTCGATATCTTACTTTTTCTCCACAAAATGATGCTTGCTGTATTATAAATTCGTTATAAAGATTGTTGACAGGTCATATAACCGTATATAAACGGCTGTTTGCAATACAACCCTCGCCTAACGGCTCGGGTTATATTTACAAATAGCCGTTTATATAGGGCCATATACCTGTCAACAATCTTTATAACTAATAATATACGTACGTTTTGCGGTACGGACGTTTTGCGGTGTTACAGAACTAGAAGTGCCAACATTTGGCTGAAGAGATTGCTTTTTTTGGGGGGGGGGGGGGGGGGGTTGCTTTATGGTCTTGTCATTAGTATCATCTTTGTATACAAGTAAGCTGACTCACACAAAAGAACGTGCTTCAGAATTCCATTTTGTTATTTGTCAAACAAATAAGTACATGTATACAATAATGATTTTACCATTCTTAGATGACAACTTTTGAGGAACGACTTTGTTTGACTTGCTGGCAATCTTTCCGACGACCATGTCGGCAGTACCTGTTTCATTTAACAGGGTTTCTGGGTCAAGAGTCTTGCCTCCCAAAACGTAGAGCTTTTCAAGTATGTATACCTTTATATTGATTCTACGAAACGATTTATATAATGTCTGACTGCTACTACTATGCTGCTTATATTCTTTTCTTGTCCTTATCTTTATTTGTTTAATGTCCTTTTTGTGTTTTTTTTTCTTTAGTTGTTTTCTGTAGTTTTTTACTTAAATTTTGTCAAAACTTACTAAAATCTTGTCCTTACCATTAACATTTCATTTTTCTTTTTCAATCTTGCATTATCAAATGTGTTTTTTTTTTTTTTTTGGTAACTTGTTAATTACAACCACCACAGACATTGAAGATTGTTATTGTTAGATAATGGCTTCTATAAGCTTCTGCTTTCGGCCAAAATCTATAATTATTGTTATGTTGTTATTTACACATGTACAAATATTCTAAATAAAATATGTTTAAACCAAACCAAGAGTCTTGCCTCTTCTTGCATAATATCTTTGGCGCAAGCGGTTTCGAAATCTTGCAAACTGTAAAAGAGACAATATTCATTGATGGTAAAACATTTTCAATATTCCTTACTGGCACTGGAATATCTAGCTACTTTCATTAAAGTTAAGTAAACCATCTTTCTGTTTACAGCTATTTATCCTGATTATTTTTTAACATAACATAACATAACATAACTTTTATTCGACATTAAAATTGCAACAACAAAATTATAATCAATTTAATTAAAACAGTGCAAAAGTGAGACACGTGATTTCTAGACCTAGAAAAATATATATGTGAATGTTTAACCGAGAAGTTCATTGCCTGACGAATGCCAATCACATTAGATGATATATACTAAGTATTTGATTAGTATTTATACTCATATGTAGATAACAATATCATTGTACATCAGAAATGTATTGGCGGGGCGAGAACTCTGCAAGTGTGAATATACTATTTTTGTGCGAATTGTTTCCCTTCCCTTGCAAAAATCGGATTACCTAGTATCGCGACAGATTGTGATTTGCAGCTATTACAATTACTTTATTTAGTTACTTTATCTAAAGTCATACAAAGCTTATGTTAGGACTTTAATTGATACAATTCATATGATGTATCATTCTGGAGGAAAGCAGATCGAAAGTCTTATTATGATAGAAACACTAATACTGTATCTTAATTTAATATATAGAAATTTTATTTCACATATGTCCTAATGTACCAATATATTTCACATATATATGTTATTTAATATACGTTTAACCTGATACGCCAAGTTTTTACCATCGTATGTTACCCCTTTGTCCGTATATTTTCTTAAGAAATTATATGTTTCGGGATTTTCATCAAATATTTAATATCTATAATTTTCCTATGTATCGCCATTATATATTAACGATACTGGACATGTATAAAACCACTAAAATCTTAGAATTATAGTTGCATTAATTATTTCATCTTTCATTATTTGTCATCTCTTTATCCTCATCGATATCATCATCATCACCATCATTATTATTACTATTACTATAACTATTACTAACACTATCACTATCACTATCACTATCGTTATCATTATTATTATTATTATTATTATCATCATCATCATCATCATCATCATCATCATCACCGACATCATCATTATTTCATCATCATCATCATCATCATCATCATCATCATCATCATCACCATCATCATTATTTCTTTATTACTATGACTTCTATTATTATTATTATTATTGTTATTATTATTATTATCAAATTCACTAAGGGAATTCGTGCTCCCCTTAATTATGCACAAAATTCTTTAATTTATTATCTTAATATTTGAAACTTTAGATTGTTTTATCCTACTCACCCTTTCGTTGCAAGACTTCTTAAAACTTATGAGCCAAATAAAACAGCCTGAATTTTCGCTAGCCATTAATTATCCATGCTATATTTGTTAAAAAAAGACGTGTAATTTTCCGGTCGCAATATGACGTTGCTAATGAGAAACGTCAACTTCTTCTGTGACGTCACCACGCTGCAAGTTTATGTCTATCGTTATGTTAAAACAACACCGAATACTAGGTAGCAACGAAAATCTTTCAAACATTCGGAACATCTCGGGCGACATCATCAGTGTTTCGTTACGGCTGTATTTGGAACACTTCGCTGATTACCAATAATTGTCTTTATTATACCCAAATATACCCCTTCCATAGCCCTTCAAGAGACAGGATAGACAATATTCTTTATGTAACGTCACCATTGGGCACACAACCTGATTTAGCTAATGCAAGTTAACTCCGCTGTACAGAATTCCTTAAACGACAGCTTCTTTGTTGGCTGCCAAGTGAGAAATATGAATCTTTGATTTTTTCCAATTTCAAAAAAAAAAAAAAAAAAAAAAAAAATATTTCAGTGAAACGTCAAGCATTACTATTCATTCAAGAAATTTGAACCATTCTTGAGTCATGTTTAGTTTTACATGAGGAGACATTGAGGGACGAGACTCCACTATACTGTTTTTGAGAGGCTGACATCTCGACTATTATGCAAATTTCTGTCAAGTTCACTGAATTTTTTTTTTCAAAACAGCGCAATAAGCTTAACTTGAATACTCTTATCTTGGATAGTATATTTCTCGCGACAATCATATAAAGAACATGGACGCCGAGCAGTCTATTTCTTTAAAAAGATCAAGAAATTTTGTCGGTAGATAGATCTTATTAAATGGAAGTGTAGTGCAAAAAAAACGTAACGCTGCCTTGCTTAATTTTGGAGTTAGTTTCTTTTGTTCATTTTTTACACTTTGACCATTGTCCAGGACATAGCTCTGAAAGAATAAGAGATATGAACAACAAACTTTATAGGTAGATAAATCTCATTGTGAAGTTAAACAGTGCAGGAGAACCTTGCCAAATTTTGGAGTTATTGCCCTTTGTTCATTTTTTTCAAAGATTTTCACTTTGGACTTTGTCCGAAACATAACTCTGAAACTATAAGAGATATCAATATGACACTTTGTAGGTAGATATCATAGGAACTCAAGAATGGGACCGCAGATTGCGACGCATATTTTCGATCGTGTAACGGTTTTTATTTGTTTGGGTCGTCAGACCAAACAAATAATGGTAGCGAAATTTCAGAGTCTAATGTTGTTAATTGCAAATGCCGAAAGTAGTCCACTTTTTTGAAGCGGTTACTTCCCTTTTGTATGTACACTAAAGCCGAAAAATTCAGGGGAGATCACTGCGTAAAGATGGTCAAAGACAGGCGCATCAATTTTCAAGCAAAGTAATTCCGAATGGTCGAAGATTTCTAATATTGTTTTATTGTATTTTCTGATCGAAAATAACTAAATACAAAGCGGACATTCAATCTCTGACACAGAAGTTTACGACAAACCTAACAACAAGTAGTTCTCAAAACAGCTTAAAACTAGCGATTTAAAAGAAAGAAATATTTTATTTTGTTACAAGTATCCAACAAATTACAACGCATTTAAAGTTAAACAATAGCGTTGGCTTATAGAATTGTCAATAAATGCACAATCACAAATTACGCGGATGAATATGATTTTATCAATGAAAATACTATTTATTACCGAATACTACACAAACCGAGTAGTGGAATATATAGATTCTACATGTCGGACTGTTTGGGCGAGAGGATTTTCGCTAAAATATTTACGGCAATTTTAAACAACAGGTTTACCCTGAACAAAATACATGTACCTCGAAATTAATAAGGATTACAAACCCGAAATGCAATGGAAGTTCTAAATTTAGAATGACTTGATATTATTCAGACTTTCTGTGTAAAACTTCTCCGTGGTACAGTGGTAACGCGCTCGCTTAGTGAGTGAGAGGTCTCGAGTTCGAATTAGTCGAGGAAACTTTTTTTTTTGTTAAATTCTTTTTTAAGTGTTTTTGTTAAGGAAGTAGCCATGATATGCAAGGATAAAGTGAGACTGTCGTAAAAAATGAACATGAATTATTTTTTGATGCAACTCTAGTTATGCAGAATTCCGTATGTATCGAACTCTGGTGCCTTGCAAAATGAATTATAATACATAAAAATAAACCTATACAGGAAAATGCATACAGATATACAGTACGATTTAGATTGCAAAGATCAGAAAATACCACAGAACTTGCAGCCCTTTGATTCTTTATAAATATAAATGCTTATAGTAAGCTCCAGGATTATTTACATCTGTGTTAAACAACAGTTAAAGTCGTTATAAGCCCTTATTTAGAATAATATGGTTTTCTTCAGCCCGTTCACATATAAATTCACCGTGGCTGAAGGGTTTTCGGGCTCGCTTAGGAAGCGAGAGGTCTGGAGTTCAAATCCCAGTAAAGGTAACTCATTTTTTTTTTCAAATTGTTAAAGTCAAATAAACATTGGATTGAATATCAGTGTTGCAATTAGTCTTATAGCCAATTTACTACAATTAAAACGCTGGAAAGCATTGGTGGCACTATACATATAATCTCACAACCTGCACCTTTCTTACATTCTGAGACCCAAACAAATTCAGCGCCTTCTGTGCTTTGATTAAAAACGTTTCTGTTACATCTTAATATCTTTTAGTATTATCCGAGTATATGGCCTCAAAAAATATATTATCAATTGAACCCAATCTGTCTCTTTTAAAACTGGTCAAATGTTACGGTATTATAAAAAAGTCAAGGAGTGACATCCGCCATTTGCCGCAACGTTTTCGGCATGAGTTTTTCCCCTTTGGCTACTATTTTTTCAGAATTTTGTTCCCGTTATTTTTGTCAACTATCAGGTATCGTCCGGTGTTTATTGTTTACATGTGTTGACATGTATAGGCGGCATTATAACGGGCGTATTTGCGTTTTGATTTGTTAACATGGAGAAAACTTTTGCCTAACTGAAAAAAGGAATATTAAAACATGATTCATAGATAAATATTTTAGGCACTCATCTGGTATTCATTACTAGGAAATGTGAAAGTGTTCCATTTATTGAGTGACATAAAGAGAGTATTAGAAAAATTAAAACAAAAATAAAGCATATCAAGGGGGATAACCTACGCTGAACGTTGCGGTAAATGGCGGATGTCACTCCTTTTCTTTTTTCAATATACCGTAAATTTAACTGATTTTTAAATTAGAAGATTATAGTAAATTGAGATTAGATAATTAAAGACCACCCGCTCGCATAATATGAAAAGATATTCAAAGGTCGGACAAACAATATGTAAAGCCTTTATGCGCCGCAATATGCGGTCCTTTTCCAGAGTCCGGGACTATGGTTTGATATATCTCATTGCGAAGATATGCAGTGCAAAAAAATTCTTTACTCTGCCTTTCCTATTTTTGGAGTTATAGCCCTTTTTCAATGTTACGCTTTATGAACTTTATTCGTGACATTACCAATGGTAGGATACTACGTCATCGCGCACCTGCTAAATGCTCCCACTTGGACCATTTTTCCGTCGACTCGAAGGTAAAATACAATTTTATTACAAGGAAACGTAAGAGTATTAAAAAATCATGTAGCGCACCAAAGAATGGCTATAGTACTTGAGATAATTGTAAAAAAAGTTTATAGATTTATTGCCTGGTTTAGGCCTGAAAACGGGATAAGTGTTTTTCTCTGAATGCTCCCACTCGGACTTCTCCCGAAATATATATGAAATAAGGTTGAAAACCTTCTTTAAAATTATTTTTAACGTATCGGAACATATACCGAGTCCTGTATAACCATTATTCTTTATTAGTTTCAAATATTTATATTCAAAAGTCAGTCTTTTAAAGGTTTTTTTATGAAAATGGAAAATGCTTCCACTCGGACTCGATTTCAGAGATGCTCCCACTCGGACCCAAATTTATACATTTTGAAAGCACATTCTGTGTTAGCTTTTATGGATTATTCTCACAATTTTAACACCATTTTATCAATAACTACTGTGTTTGGCAACATTAACTTTTCATTCTTTTTACAGAGATCACTTCTTTGATTCTGTAGAATGACGTCGTTGGGCAGGAACAAGGTGCCATGGCAAAGTTTCAACTGACAGGATCACTATACAAAAAGGTGCACTTGGATTGTGTTGCATCCGAAGGGATAATTCAAAATTATTGCCAACAACAAGCTAGGACTATAAGACTTTAAATGGACAGTTTGGATCTCAAGAATAAAGTTTTGTTTAGATGTTAAAAAATTGTGGTGTTTTACAAAGAAGTCATTATACATTGTTTAGTACCATACCGGATTAAGATTCTGTTGGACTCGTGCACATATTAATTAGAGGCCAGCATTTATTCAATAATTGCTGACTTTAATATCTTGTTAATAATTTAAAACCCAATGGTTTGCATGTTTGTTAAACTTGTGATTTAGGTTTTAAAACAGCATATAATGGTACGTTTATGAAGAAGTCAATATCTATCGGTTGATTTGAATAGTTTATTAAAGAACAACATATAAATCATTTTGTCATGAACTTGTTAAAAAGTCAATGTACTGCCATACTACGGCGTCACAATTATTAACAACTTTGACAATTTTAAGTATGAAAGTTATCATGTGTACGTATTTTTACCTAAATAAAAAAAAATTAAAAAAAATAAGAAAACAAAGATCATAGTTATTTCTTTATCACAGACTTTACCATATTTTGGTAATCAAAGATCATGTAAGTTATATTTCAGGCTGTTACCAATTGAAATTGTCTATAGATTAAATGTATTAATATTTATGGTACTAAAACAATTTTCAAACATAAAGGAATATGTAAAATACGTACTGCAAATGCTTGTCCACATTATATGTAATCATTAAAATATACATGTATGCATAATGCATTCATTTCTTTTTGAAAGATTCAACATACACTTAATAGAAAACATATTTCTAATTACCTCCCTTTATGAAATGTAAATTCGGTATTATCTTTACAAATACTGCTTTTCGGAACATACAATATTGATAAATCTTCATTTGAGCATTATATTTATGAATAAAATCATAGAATAATGATTTCAGGGTATTTGAATGACGTTAAAATAGCAATAATACAAGAAGGAATCACAGACAGCAAAATCTCCCGCCATAAGGAGGAAGTACATTTCAAAGGGGAAGTAACCCTTACATACGTGAAAATATTCCAAGTAATGATACTGAAAAGTTATAGCCTAGACATAATAAATCATGACAAATATAACACTCCCATGAAAAACAAAACAAAGAAAAACGACAAAGAAGCTTTAAGTGAACACTTCTGGTCCTTATGCTCTGCTATTCACTTCTATTTAACATGTTCAATATAAAGTTTTAAGTTTATATCTCAAATACCTTTATAGGTATGGTCCTTGCAAACTACTGATAGTGAATACAAAGAGCAATAACTCCAAAACTGGAGAGTTGTCATTCTTGTTTGCGGTATTTTACTTTATTGAAATCTATCCTCCAGTGAAATTTCAGATGAATTGATCCTTTATGACACATTGTCCAAAATTTAACGCAAAAAACTGAACAAAAGACAATTACTTCAAAGAACTATTATTATTGTGTTTTCTAGAGTATTCCTCCTCAATGAGATATATCCACAGTCTAAAATATTTGCTCCAGCTTTGCCGTGCCAATTAAGATGTCCTGCCATGTGCTTCCTTACGTCGCAATGTGGTTTATACCTTTTCCCATACTGGTCACAAATACAAATACTTTCTGCAAAACAAAACGTTATTACATTTTTAAAATGTATAAACAATTTGTTTCTTATTTAAGCGACTCTTTTAAACGAGGAATTGTTTCAACACAACTTTTTTCCCTTATACTAATCCTCTAAGAAGACATATTTAGGAGACTGTTTAGTAATTTAAATATTAGTACTGTATTTTAAAAATGCTGTTTCATTGAATTCTTACTGATTATATGAATATATGAACGTGAATATAAAGATATTTGGAAAAAAAATCTTCAGACAGCAATTTGTATATATTTAGGTCCGAGTGGGAGCATCTCTGAAGTTGAGTCCGAGTGGGAGCATTTTCCATTTTTATAAAAAGAATTAAGAAAAACTGACTTTTGAATAGAAACATTTGACACTAATATAGAATAATGGGTATACATGACTCGGTTTATGTTCCGGGACGTTAAAAATAACTTTAAAGAAGGTTTTCAACCTTATTTTATATATGTTTCGGGAGAAGTCCGAGTGGGAGCATTCAGAGAAAAACACTTATCCCGTTTTCAGGCCTAAACCAGGCAATAAATCTATAAACTTTTTTTACAATTATCTCAAGTACTATAGCCATTCTTTGGTGCGCTACATGATTTTTTAATACTCTTACGTTTTCTTGTAATAAAATTGTATTTTACCTTTGAGTCGACGAAAAAATGGTCCAAGTGGGAGCATTCAGCAGGTGCGCGATGACGTAGTATCCTACCATTGATTACTGTGAAACTACAAGAGGTATCAACAAGTAACTAAGTCGTTCAATAGATCGCATTGAGTAGAAGTGCAGTGTCAACAACAGTAACCATGCCTTGCCTAATTTTTTAATTATTGCACTTTGAACTTTGTCCGAGACATAACTCTGAAATTACAAGAGGTATACTTTTCTCTGTCCAAAACTTATTCGGGGAGCATCACCCGATCTCTTTGATTTTATTTATTTTTGCATTTTTTCAACGGCGATTTGTTCCTTCTGTATTTAAAGTGTAGTAATTTTCTTTCAAAAAGAACAACTGTTTTCTCGAGCTAACCGTTAAAACTTTAATTGTTTTTCCATTAGTTTTGAGGGTCTTCCTTCCTACAATATAAGGCTCAAAGCCTAAACCAAAGCAAAATGTCCGGGAGATATTTTTTGACCGGCAATTTATTCTTTCTGTTCCGTATAATTATGAAGAGTCAATTTTCGTAAAGAACAACATTTTGTCGAGCCAACCGTTAAAAAACTAGTTGTCTGATTCCGTTGAGGATTCGTTTTTACATTTATTTGAAGGGTCTTTCTTAATGTAATATAAGACCAAAAGCCTAAATCCAAGCAAAATTTCCGGGAGATTTCCGCGTAGCATAGAATATAAGGAGTAACTGTATTTTACAATCTTATAAACAAGAGGGCCATGATGGCCCTAAATCGCTCACAGTCAGAAAACTTGTTCAATTGGGTCTTTTAAAGGAGATTTTTTTGTATATAAGGATAATCAATGACCCCCTGGGCGAGGCCGATTTTGACCCAAGGGCTTTTTTCTAATAAATTGGTAGACACTTACTAGAAGATGTTTAATGCCAAATATCTAAGCTCTAGCTATTTGAGTTATTTTAAAAGAGGATTTTTAAGTTTTACTATATACATATATGGTAAAACAATGACCCTCTTGGGCGAGGCCAATTTTGACTCCAGTGCTCCCAGTGCTTTTATTTGAACAAACATTGTAAAACACTTACTAGAAGATGTTTCATGCCAAATATCTAAGCTCTAGCTCCTTGTTTTTTTAACCGAAGATATTTTCAAGTGTTTTTTTTTCTTTCGGTTGCCATTGCAACAAGAGTTTTGCATGGAATTAAATGCTTTGAACAATTTTTAAAGGTTACCACCAAAAGAACATTCCTGTGACGTTTGGATGAGATTGGCTAAGCGGTTTATGACAAGATGTCGTTTAAATTAAAAGTTTACGGACGGACGGACGGACGGACGGCGGACGAAAAGCGATCACAAAAACACCATTTTCTGATGCGAATTGTTAAAACACCATTTGTCGTTGATTTCGTTGCAGACGAACTTGAAGTCATTTGATGTAAAAATAAACAAAAATATGTTTCAATGAACTTTATTGGTAAGAATAAAATACAGAAACATTTTTATGACAACGATATGGTAAAAAATGAGTCGATGCCTAAGCAGAACACGAAAAAATGAAGATGAAAACAAACAAATAAGGCAAAAAGAAATAAAAGAGACACAAACAAACAAAACAAAGACAGAAACAAACAAAACAAAGATACAAATAAACAATACACGCACAAAAATAACACACACACACAAACACACACACGAACGCAGTTTCTTTCTTATTCTTGTACTCTGAAATTAAAAGAGTAAGCTTAGTGTGGTGACGATCAGTTTTACATTTTTTTCTTCAATAAAAAGATTTTTGAATTTATAATAATACTGCAGAAGGCATAACGCTGTTTACATTCTTTAGCTTTACCATTTCAAACTTTACAAATAATATTATATGAATCTTACCATACACGCTTACAGGTGGAAGACCGTCATCAGTGACGTCACATCCGGTTATGCCGAATGCTTCTGTAAAAAGATACAGAACGATCATTATGTGTACTTTTGTTTTAAGCTTAACATGACATAAATTTTGCTCTCGGTCGACTCGACGCATTTTATTTCATTATACCAAAGAGTTGCGAATTCATCCCCCTTTTTATTGGGTTTTCCGTCGCATGGCGCTTTTTCCAGCTTTACTAGCGGAGGAAGACCTCAGGCGCTCTTCTATGCGTCATTTCAGGTACAGACGAGCACTTGAGTAGAACCACCGACGTTCTGTAAACTTCTTGCACTGAATGCTCTAAGTGTAAAAATTTTAGTTTGTCACAAAATATTCATCAACATCTCTTACCCTTGAATTCTTTGATAGTTTTAGCCTTTCTAATAGCAGACTGGTTGATGTTGGCAGCTGTCACAATATTTGACAGGCTCTCCGTGACAGCCATATCAGCAATTTCTGTGAAAGAAAAAATATTACTGTCATGTGCATGTACACTTAAACACTACTCATAAGTAAAACAAGAGCTAACTTCCAACATGGTAAAAGGCCGCGTTAAAACGTGGCAAAACCGTTTATAATTGGTACCTGCCAGACAACTACCGGAAACAGGATGGCAAAAAGCTCATAAATTTACCGGAAGTCAAGATGAAAACAAACAGGCTACGGTATAAAAAGAGTGAAGCTGAAAACATAAAGACCACATAAAAAGTACATAGCCAGGATAAACCTTGTGCATGAACAGATAAAGCTGGACAATTTTCGTCATTTGATTGACTGTCAACTGAAATGCCGAGAACTGTCAGGTTTATTTGAGGCTGGTGTAACTGCTTCTTATACCACGGGTTTTCTTGTCATGATTAATATCATGAAAATGCCCTTAAAAATATATAACCTTAAAACGATATTCTTTTATTAGGCTTATATCCATAAAGTCAGTTATAAGGTAAAGACAGCACTAGCTATGTCTATATGATTTATGGTATAAATGATGACCTTTGACAATGTAGGAAATTTTTTATTTAATACATAAACACACTTTGTGTCATGCACGGGGCAATCTCATCAACAGCCACTGTCCCCACCCCCGACGAATGACAAGGACTTTGGCAATTGGATTTTCTTACACCTTGTAATGACCCAACCATTTAATCCGGCTAAAGGCCATCACGGCGCTGTCCTGGTTCATTTTGGCACACAAAAAATACCGCATTTAATTATTTAATTTAAAGTGAAGGGACAAGAAAAATATCAAACCCCGCTTATTTCCCCACCTCATTCGCCTGGTATCCGGATATACAAAGAGGATATTTGTTTGTTTTGCGTGTAAGATTGAAATATAATTTCACTGAGTGAACACCAGATGCAATATTTTCACGAGTGGCGTACTCGTGAAAATATAATAGCTGGTGTTCACGAATGAAATATATTATATTTCAATCTTATATGTAAAACAAATAAATTTTCTTTTTATTTCATGCTTTTTAAGTGATTTTAAGTATTTTTTATTGATTTTGCCGCGTAACGTCGCGCATTCTCCTATGTGACGTCATCACTTCATTACGTCACATCATCAATTTTGAAATATAGTTTTGTTAAATTTCTCTAATTTTGTTACATTTTTAACAGAATGTATAGTGACATCGACTTTCTCTTCCTTAAGAAGCACAATTTACGTATGACAGCATTTATTTCTGATTGTTATTCCATTTAGTTATGATTTTCTTTTCATCCGCATTCGGATATAGTCCGGCTACAGTGAAAATTATATTTTATAAATTTCACTAGTGGTTTATCAGAATATAATCATCTGATATATTACAATAAAACACTGGAAAGCATGAAATAAAAATGCATAAATCACATCACTTACGGCTTATGACACTGGAGGACAAAGATACGTTGTCGTCTGCTGGCCTCACAGTTACAGTCGTTGTGTTGCTAGGCAACTCCTGTCTCAGACTGTCGGCTGCCTTGTTTATGATGCCTGTCACGTATTCTGCAACTAAAAGATTTTGTAAAACTTTATTTAATGTAATTGAGAATTTAGACATTACTTAAAGGCACAGTATATCTCTGAAATTGATACATAATACATTATATTCCTCTTTAGAAAAAAGAAAAACATTTTAAAATGTTATAATAATAGTTTAAAAAAAAAATAATAATAATAATGGTTCTAAGCAGGTTAGAGTTTAGAATTTTTAGATTTGATAGAGTTTAGAATTTTTAGATTTAGATGCTTATCACCCGGATAGAAATGATCTGAAGTGAAATAAATTGTCATAAATGTAGGAAAGGGTAGTCAGGCTGGTATTTTTACTTCCATCAAAATACTTAGTCACAATTTCAACAATTGCCAAAAGTTCAAAAGAAGCAAAAGATTTCTCAGCTTTATGGTAAATGAATATTTATAAATAAAAAATGTAAAAAAGACACATAGGCCTAACATTAAATTTAAAAAACTTTTGAAAATAGAAAATAATGCATTTTAGGCTTTATGGCTGTTGTTGTTGTCATACAAATTATCAGTATGTAGATGTAAATGTACGTTTTAATTCAGGCATTATACTCGAACATTCATATTTAATGAAATTGCGGGTCGCCATTAAATGTAGCAACACCGCAAAATGTCGTATATATATCTATGAGTATTTTTCAGCGTTTTGACAAAATCGAAAAAAAAGAAGATTTTGGAATTCTTTATAATTTGATATAATTGTTAATTAATGAAATTGTAAAAATGATTGAGTAAAAATACTCATATTTACCAAGTCTGTCGTCTGCTGTGGAATTGTCGTCTGCAATGATCTCTGCCACTGTTGCATTTTCTGTATCAACAGCATCGTCTGGAAAATAATAGGTTTCCGGATTTTTTTAAGTAAATTTCAAGTTACTTCATTTTTATTCGTATTATAAAATTAACAGAATCAAGTTTTTACTTTTTAGTATCATCTTTGTATATAAGTATGCTGACTCACACAAACAAAAGTTTTTTAAAAATTCCAAATTTCTTTTTATTTGTCAAACAAATAATACTGCTGCGCTAAAATTTGAGAATTCATTTAGTAAATATAGCGTATCACAAAATGATTTTACCATTCTTAGATGGCAACTTTTGAGGAACGACTTTGTTTGACTTGCCAGCAATCTTTCCGACGACCATGTCAGCAGTACCTGTTTCATTTAACAGGGTTTCTGGGTCAAGAGTCTTGCCTCTTCTTGCATAGTATCTTTGGCGCAAGCGGTTTCGAAATCTTGCAAACTGTAAAAGAGATGTCCATTAATGGTAAAACATTTTCAATATTCCTTACTGGCACTGAAATATCTAGCTACTTTCATTAAAATTTAAGTAAACCATTTTTTTCTGTTTACAGCTATTCATCCTGATTATTTTTTAACATAACATATTAACATAACTTTTATTCGACATTCAAATTGTAACAACAAAATTGTTATCGATTTACATTGAAACAGTGCAAAAGTGAGACACGGGATTTCTTAACCTAGAAATATGCGTATGTTTAACCGAGAAGTCCATTGCCTGACGAATGCCAATCACATTAGAATAATATATATTTGATTAGTATTTATACACATATATGTAGATAAAAATATCATTGTGCATAATTGTCAGAACTATACTGGTTGGGCGAGAACTCTGCAAGACTTTGTGTCAATAGACAATTTTTGTGCGAATTGTTTCCCTTCCCTTGCAAAAATTCTTATCAACTAGTATCACGAAACATTGTGATTTGCAGCTATTAGAATTACTTTATTTAGTTACTTTATCTAAAGTCATACAGAGCCTATGTAAGGACTTTAATTGATACAATTCATATGTATGTAATCATTCTGGAGTAAAGCAGATCGAAAGTCTTTTAAGATAGAAACATTAATACTGTATCTTAATTTATATATAGAACATTTATTTCACTGATGTCCTGATGTACATGTACCAATATATTTGACTATGTTTTTTAATATACATTTAACCTGATACGCCCAGTTTTTACCATCGTATGTTACCCCATTGTCCGTATCTTTTCTTAAGAAATTATATGTTTTTTTAATATGGTATTATCATTAAGTTTCGGGATTTTCATCAAATATTTAATAACTATAATTTTCCTATGTATCGCCATTATATATTTATCGATACTGGACATGTATAAATCCACTAAAATCTAAGAATTATATTTGCATTAATTATTTCATCTTTCATTATTTGTCATCTCTTTATCATCATCATCGTCATTATTGTTATAAGAATCTATTTATTATTATAATAATAATAATTATTATTAAATCTTTTATTATTATTATGATTAGATCTATTATAATTATTATTATTATTATTATCAAATTCACTAAAGGAATTCGTGCTTCCCTAACTCTTTACTATCATCTTAATTGAATGTTTATATTCTTTAATTCTACTCACCCTTTCGTTGCAAGACTTCTTTAAACTTATGAGCCAAATAAAACAGCCTGGATTTTCGCTAGCCATTAATTCTCCATGCTTTATTGATTTCAAAAGAGCTGCTGTAGTTTTCCGGGCGCTATATGACGTTGCTAATGAGTAACGTCAGTTGACTTCTTCTGTGACGTCACAACGCTGCAAGTTTATGTCTATCGTTATGTTAAAACATCACCGAATACTAGGTAGCAACGAAATTCTTTCAAACATTTGGAACATCTCGGGTGACTTCAGTTAGTTTTATTTAGAACACTTCACTGTTTTATTATTCCTCAATATACCCATCCATAGATAGACAATATTTTTAAATAACGTCACTAGTGGGCACACAACTCCTACATGCTTCCTCATTCAGTGTAGAACAAGTTAACTCCCTTATATTGAAGCGAACGATAGTGGATCATTGGTAACCATCACCAAAAAAGCCTTTAACTATTTTTAGACTAAGCGATATAAAGTTTGGACAATGAAATGTTTTTCTAAAATAATGTTTTAATATCAAGCAAATGATAACTCACGTCAGCCGCATTGCCGTCCTCCATCTTTCCCAACTAAGACACAAGGGTAAATGCATCTTTGGTCGCAAAGTGACGTAAATCATGCATATTTATCAGGCCAATACCACCATTCAGGTAACTGTGAATCCAGCAGACTGGTAGTGACGTAATAAAGTGAATATTATTGAAGCCAGTTAAAGCTTACCACTAAGTATTCATCCATAAAGTTTTTACAGAAATTAGAACCATTCTCTCTAAGTTTCTAATTTCTTTAGAACAGCACGGATTAACACTCACAATATACTTAAATCATGTTTTGTTATCCTTACCATTTGGAAACAAAGCTAAGAATATATGTTCTCAAGTACAAAAAATTGCCGGCATCAGCATTTTAAACTTTCTGGATAAGGTCCATTTTCTCGAAAACTATTTAAGCTAGTCACTTCAAACTTGATATACTTGTTTATATTCATGAAAAGGGCAGATAATACTGAAATTATTTTTTTGCAAAGTTATGACCCTTTGAAAAAGTGGAGAGAGTTGTCCATGACAAACTTTGTAAATATAATATACACAGGAGCAGAGTAAGACATTAGTTAAAAAAATTTCTTTGTTGAACCATAGACCTAAAATCATCATAAACAAGAACATTTTTTTATCAGACGAAAATAATTAATTGAATTGACTTCTGTTTTTAAAGAATGACCATCATTTACTAGGTTAGGTTTCTCAAGTTTTAAAAGAAGTTCTCCAATCTTATTGTTGTAAAACAAATTTCAATGCTCAAGGTGTTAACTTGAAGCAAAGTGCCTCATAGTTCTTCATAGTAATCTCGAAAGTGCTACTTTGATATATGTGTGAGTGTAACATACATGTACAAAGTGACATCTGAGGTAATTAGAGACTTTAAAGCTTTCACATGCCATTTACAAATTAAGTTTACTTAAGTTACCAAAGAATGAGCTAATACAAAACACATAGGGAAAATAATAACAACAAAACCACTTCATATACATATATGTAAGAAAATATTTTATTTGTGTATAAAAATGATAATATACCAGGAAAAATATTGCATATAACATGTAGAAGTAAAATGTTGAGAATTTTTGTACATGTGTTAATTATAAATCTTTCTTAAATTTGAGTCTACCTACCTTAATATAGAAAAAAAAACATTTTGCGTTCAATAAAATTACAAATAATTTATATTGGCTGAAATATGTATTAAGATTATATAATTTGCTACCTATTGAAGTGTCATTAAACTGTACGTGATCGTGTATATGCTCCATGAATTATAAAACTTAACTATTGCCACTCTAAGTAAGGAAGAAATTTTTTTAAATCATAGCTGAATATCACAATTGAAAAAGCAGTTTAAAATGCTTTTAAATGTAATCTCTTAACATTGAAATAATGAGATTTCATAGATATAGGAAATAGGTTTACTTGGTAAAATTGCTTAGAATCAGAATAAAGTTAACAAACATTCAGTATATTTTTATACATATGGAGATTCTTTCCGAGTCTGATTATTGACCAAACACAAAAGATTACAAAACTGATATGTACATTCTATAATCTAATCTATAAAGGGAGGCAATCTACCTAAAACATCACAGAAAAGCATGAAAATCATGACAATACATTAAACATTAATTTTGTTTAGACTGAAAGTGCTGGAAATGTTAGACTTACTTAAAAAAAGATCTTTCTTTGCAAAATAGCATGTTCAAAGAACTAAAACCCAGCAGTGAGTGGAGACAATTTTTCATTTAACCTCCCAGAATTACCTCCCTTCATATTTGAAATTCCACACAACATACAAATCAAAGACGGTTTAAAAGTTGAAGATTCCTTACTTTGAGTATACTAAAAGATTAAAAGCACTGTACAATTGAAGGTAATAAAAGATCTATATATATACATGATATGTTAATTTTTCCTAGAACTACAATAATGAAGCATATTTTACAATGAATATGTTAATGAAATATCTAGAAATGTGTAAAAACAGAATATATATACAATTATTTATTATGTTTTCCTTTCATTAAATGAAAAGTGGAGGTATGTACAATTAATGAAAACTAGACTGATTATTAACTGATTCAAACCATATTATAAAAAAATGCATACAACCTGGGAAATTTACTATAAAATTACTACATGTACTAAATCAAGTTTAAAATTTGTTAAAAAGTGGAGAAAAAGTTTCACTAGCCATTTTTCAATGCCAAAGTTAAATTTCATGAAAATTTGGAAAATTTACTTAGAAACCATTTCATACCATATTTATGTAAAGAAACAAAGAAAATTCTTTAAAAAGGATGCACAATTTTTTTTAAAATTACAGCAGTATGTCATGAAAATAAAATAATGTAAACAAGTGACTATACAGGCACTCAGAAAATTGAATGATTTTTCCGTAATTGTAGAATTATATCATGATAAATTCTCTCCCTTGATAAAATCAATGAGTCCAAAAAATTAACCTAAAATACCACACTAAATATCTTAAATGAATTTGCCCGTATCTGAATAAGGCTCGTCATCATTTTGTAAGGAAAATTCAATATATATTTTAATATAATGTGCAGACTGAATTGTGAAAAGTGTAGACCATGATCAGGCAGCGCAGATAGTACCGGCTGGTATTGGTCTGCACTGGTTACACAAGAAGATTCAGATACTGATAGCTGGCTAAGAGTTAATTACACTAATTGGTCCAATCTGAATAAAAGTTCAATGAGGAATGATAAAACAGTTAAAAACGTGACAATTAACAACAGTGCAGCAACACTGTCACCACCAACATTGTTATTGTTGTTATACTGAAAGTTAACATGGAACTGCCGCTCATACCAGGCCGCTCAATAACTTGCGATGACGACTCTGAAATTCAGAAGAAAAAAATTGCTGTAAACTACATGTTTTGAACAAAATAATTATTTCTTGTAATGTCTCCATATTAATGATCAGTTATAAACATTTTAAACAAGTTATAACCAGAGCCACTAGACAAGGGTTATATTGAAAACAACCATTACCAATTATATATACGGTCATATAACCGGTCAAGAATATTTATAATGACTTTATAATACAGCAAATTTTCTCTTATACAGAAAATAGCGAGATTTCTTCATAAATTGACAACAGTCATGTATATAAAACTAAACGTCACAAATGATGAAAATTAAAGGTCATAAATTTGTAGCAGCCATGTTTGAAGAAATATGTTATAATGTAGCATCGTTTAAACATCATGATAATTTTTATCCAATGAAAATCATTGTTACAAACATACAGTATTATCAGACAATGTGTATCCTGATTATTTATTTTAACAAATGGATTCAGTGTCTCTAAGCACAAACTACAATAATTTGGTCAGGCCAATTCCATCGGAATAAAACTTAGCCCCGCTCCCATATCTTCTATGCTTTCTGTACAATCATATTCCTTACTGTTGGTTACTGGTCTTTGATAATAAAAAAATCCCTTAGAATAACACACAATTTGGTACCAGAAGAACATGTCCATAAAGAAATTCAGTTTTGTAAATGGTCAAATATAAATATCAATTGTAAACAATTTAATATCTGTTGATATACCAATAAAATGCAATAAAGACCACTTACGCTGTAGCTCAACAAATGCATTCTCATTTCCCTCAATGTTTTCAGCGTAACACCTGTACTGTCCGAAATCATTCTCAGTAATATCTTGTATAATCAGTTTCATCAAGACGTAGTTCGACCCAAAGTAATACTCCTCAGCGTATCTACAAATAAATAGGGGATATTTAAGGTTTTTTTTCTATAAATACAGGATTTATTTTCATCAAGTGTTATATAGAAAAAAAACATAAATTTTCTGTTTTTTATATACATTTTTCTCTTTTCTGACATTACCCCTTTAAAGTTTGGAAACTGATTAATTTAGATGACAGTAGTCTGGCAAGACATCAGTGAAACTATGGAAAATATATTCCACTGCAGTGAAAAATAAAGTTTTACAGTAAAAATACGGAAATGAAAATACACATTTTATTTCATCAATATTTCATTTATAAATATATAATTAACACCTGTATAAACAGGCATTGAAATGTTAAAAAAATGTGCATTATTTTCAGTCTTCACTTTAAAAAAAAATATTTTGGTTGGGTTTTAAATCCCACTGACACATGTAACAGATTTATGTATGGTTAACTTGTATACATGTGACTTTTTGAAAAAAAAAACAAAAAAAACAACAACATACAACTACATATTATAATCTGCTATTGAGTATTGATCCTTACCTGCTGAAATTTGTGAAATTGATTTGCCCAGCTTTCAATATGGAACAGTCCGGTCAAAATACAGAAATCAAGCTATTAGCCAGGCTTATCACTTTCAATTTCTTAAAGGTTAGGGTTTAATACAGTTTGCAGAATCACATACATGTGCAGCATGAAAGACGACAATTTTAATTAATATGTTTGCCACCAATTTCATAGATAAGACATCTGTTACTTTCCCTTCTGGGGAAAATCTTTTCTTATGTTTTCAAAATCAATACAAAACATAAAATGTAAAACATTCAATGGCCAGATTTTCTACAAAATAGATTGCATTTAATTAACAATTTCTTACTTGTTTCTATCATCCAATGGTACTCCATCTCTAGACCAATACATCTGTGATTCATCAGGAACTGGGTTACCCGCAGCCAGACAGGTCAGTTCACGACTATAGCCCACAGCTTGTGCTACTACCTCCTCTTTGGCCCTTACTTGAGGCTGGACTGAAAGAAGACGAATGCAACAATAAAGAAAAGTAAGGTATTTCAAATTCTCGTAAAATCAATTTATAAATCTGTGAAGAAATTACTTTTTAGTGAAATATTTTCAGAACAACAAAATGTTATTCAGACTGGCCTTTATTTTGGTGGCAAAGGTGTTTTTACTGTTGGTGAAGTTTACTGGATAATGGTGGCAAAGACTTTTTCATTTGTGGCCAAGGCTTTTTTACTGGTGGCAAAGGCTTTTTCACTGGTCCCAAAGGCTTTTTTTACTGTTAGCAAAGGCTTTTCTAGTGGTGGCCAAGGCTTTTTTACTGGTGGCAAAGGCTTTTTTACTGTTAGCAAAGGCTATTTTTACTGGTGGCAAAGGCTTTTTCACTGGTGGCAAAGACGTTTTACTGGTGGCAAAGGCTTTTTCACTGGTGGCCAATGCTTTTTCTAGTGGCAAAGTCTTTTTTTAAGCAAAGGTTTTTTTACTGGTGGCATACTTTTTTATTGGTTGCAAAGACTTTTATACTGGTGGCAAAGGCTTTTTTACTGGTTGCAAAGGCTTTTTTATTGGTGGCAAAAGCTTTTTACTAGTTGCAAAAATTACCGATAAAAAACAGAAAAAGCTTTTTACTGGTGGCAAAGGTTTTGCAGTTCCAAGTTTCTGAATTGCAATGGTTGAATTGCTTGGTTTACATCTTATGCAAGATTTGAACCCTGGGTGACAGTATTTCAAGTAATTTGAACAACCTTGCAGACTAACTATGACAAAGTTTAAATAAAATAAAAATCTTTACTTACACTGTACATTGAGGTATATGCTACGGATATCGGTTCCCGCAATATTCTCAGCTTTACATTTATAAGCTCCTTTCATGTCCCTATCCACACTGTCAACCTTGATAGATGGCGCCTGGAAACAGTCAAATCATTAACACACAATCTATTTATATTTGCTTTTAGATAAAATATACACAAGACATGTTTCCATCAATCATTATTATTAATTATATTATTGATATTTTTTTATTTGAGTACCATTTTAACACAAGAAAAAGTTTTACATTTCTTTCAGGTTCTGTTTGGGTTTAATTATCAAAAGCACCCACACAAATTGATATAACAATTCCCCATGGCACAACTATAATCCATGAAATCATTTTGATATTTTAAACCCAGGTTTAACCTGTTGAATTTGTGTAATGAAGCTGCTTATAGTCTGCACTGTTAAGGCTATTCAGAACATATTTGAACTTTTCCCCAAAAATGATGAATGGCTTTGTCCAGATTGAAGAATAGTCCATTTAAAATGTTATGAGAAGTTAGGGTTGAGTTAGTTATATTGAAATTTTCCTGAAAAAATAATTACTTTGGGTAAGTTCATTATTTTAAGGTACAAGACTTAGTATTTAGTGAAGTAAGTGTTAAGATAGATATTCTCGGTAATTACAAAGCATACAGATGAATGGCATTTATAACTTACAGTGAGCTCTCTCCCCCCAGTTGGTAGGACACCACCTCCCACCATAGTCCAGCTGATGACAGGTTTTGGGATACCACTAGCATCACAAGTCAGTTCTAGAGGGTCACCCTCTTTCTTGATTGTGTTAGAACTTGTAAAGATATCGATAATCTGTGGTTTCTCTGAAAATATAAGATAAAATTTTCATGTTTCAATTGTGACAGTAGGAACTTGGCGTTAATCAGTTATTACTTATGGAGGTGATATTCTCTATTTCATTGCTAGCTGGTACGACAAAGTGGTATTATGCCCATCCAAGTGTACTCTCCTGAGCATCTGTCGGATGTTTAACTATCGCTCACTGTCTGAAGTAACGCAAGTGTATTCAGTGAGCTGTGAAGGGAGCGTGACCCGAGAGTAAATGGCCAAAGAAACAGGTAAAAATAAAAATAGCATGACATTTTGCCATAATTGTGTTCAATTTTATATTTTACAATGAAAAATAAAACAAAACAACAACCAAAAGAAATTTCTATAAATATCATTCAGAATACATCAGAAATGCTCAGGTTTTGAAATGAGTGGGGCAGTCTTTTTATAATTTAGATAAATTTTTATATTGTATCTTAAACAATTTCCCTCAAGGACCATAGTAATTGCCAATCTTTTGAAACATACTACTAATTCAACTTGACTTGACACCGAAGGAAATGAGCATATTCTCTTGAAAGCGGTATCAAAAAGAATTTTAAATATAACTATAAAGAGAAAACCCCAAATACTTACGAATAACTTGTATCATACGACTGTCGTTAGCGTTCTGCTGCCCGCCAAGCTGGACTCTGCATATATAGAGAGCCTGGTCTGACTCTTGAGCATTCTGGATCTTCAAGCGCCAGTTGTTGGCGGCAGGCTTATCTATCTGATATTTGAAGGCATTCTGAGTGTCTGTATCAGTAGATATAGGAATGGGTGTGTTTGTACGGAAGTTCTGTACCAACCATTGAACCTGAAATAAAACAAACAAAAAAACATTTTTTATTAATATCTATTTATTTGAACACTGGCTTTTTGCTATTGTGAACATATACAATAAATAAATCTATTAAATTGTTGGGAATATGTGTACTGACAACTTTCAAGAAGACTTTATTGAATTTACTCACTGACCAACTACAATAGTCATAGTTTTTTCTCTAATTTGGCCAAAGGAATGTCATTACTGAATTAACCATAGATTCATGTAGCAGTACACTGTGAGACAGACATGTCAATCACAAGGCATGCACCTCTCTATCTATAATAAGTATAAATTTTTGAAAAACAATCACCATACCTTTTTATCAGCCGGTTTGTTATCCACAATACAGGCCAAAAAACAATCGCTGTCTTTTTCTACGACAACTGTCTTGTAGTTACTTCTGATCACAGTCTTTGGAAATGTGTACCTAAGGACAACTTTCGGGTCAGCACACCATACTATAGAAAAAATAAAATCATTGTCTTTCACAATATACTACCATATGATTTGTTTTCAAATTAATGGAAGATAGATATAGATCTATAATATGAAAGTAGGCAAAGTCTATGAATAGGGAATTAAGTCAGAAGAAAAAAAAATGTTCATTTTTATTTTACAATTTTCGTTTTAAAAGAGTCATTTGGTATTTCAAGCACCGCTTCTGTTTTTAATCGGAACACCTAGCCAATTATTTTTTAGGCATAAAGTTGTGACTGGTCTGTTATTGGAAGCATGTGCCCACAATTTGACTTCCCCATGTAATCACCAACTTATACGGGGATTTGGCAAAGGCTGGGACCTCGACGTTTTGGCTTGCCCGGGCTATATACTACATGACTGTGTAATATTAAAAAGGAAATCAAATAAAAAACAATTAAAAAATATAGAAAATTTTATACCTAATCTTGATTATCCATGAAATTTTAAGTATCAGATCTAGTTGGACGCTGACATTTCAAAATAATTCAATCATGATAAGTGGAATATTCCGACAACGGAACAATCGCAACTGTTCGGATCAATGATAATTGTCAAGTGTTCAGAGTGAAAACTGAAGCTGTGCATGAAATACCGAATGACTCCTTTAAAATGGAAAAATGAACAATTTTTTTTACCGACTTCCCTGATCATAGGCTTTGCCTAATTTCATATATATTATTGATCAAAGCTGTCTGCAGGTGGAAAGCAGAAAATCTGCCAGGTATTTCTACCATATACAGTATTCAATTAAAGTTGAGAAATAGTGTAACTAATTGAAATAAGTCAGCAACCATTCCGTTAAAAAATATTTGTGAAGCAGAAGCAATGATTCACCTAGTCTCCTACAAAATGAAATTATTTCTACCTGAATTTACCTGTCCAAAAGGTAAATAATGTAACCAAAACTTGTATCGCAAGATAAACGACATTTTTCTACTAACCTGTGGATACGAAAGTTAACAAAACTATTAGGGCTATATAATTCATTCTGTTCGAGTGGTTTTCATTCCATTTTCCAAATATTTTACTCAAAATTTACAAATCAAAATACTCCGGAAGTAACTTTGGGCATGCGCAATTACTCATACCTTTTGGTAAATACACTTCAAGAATTAATTATTTTATCGTAAACGAAAATATTTTCTTCTTAGGAAAGGCCGCTTCATACGTATGTTGTGTGACATTTTCATTGTATATTATAATACGATATAAAAAATACATTCACTACAACATTAGGCCTACAATAATAGAGAGATGCAAATGCAAATGTAAGCACTATTTTAAGTAAATGAATGAAATGGAAAGCATACGACAAAAGACGCTACGTACGTAAACAAACAATAATTGGCGCGTGCGCAGATATAAAGCATTATTTTCCCGCGTTTATTGACAAATACAGCAAAATGAATGCTCATAATTATTCTTTGTCCCAGACTGAACGTAACAAGTAATTAAAGCAACCCGTGACATTCTCCCCTGCCAGGAGGTTCCTCTAAAAAACAGCTGTCTTAAAACTGCTGTATCCATATCATCAAAAAAGATCAAAATTTGAATTATAAAAGATTGGAACTTGAATTACAAACTAGCATTTGAATTGAAACAGTTTTATATCAGAACAGAACAGAACAAATCAATAGACATATGAGATTACAGAGTAAATGCAAATTTCAAAAAACATGACATGTGGTGAATGCAAACAGTATACGTATTATAAAGCGATATTTTCAGTAAATTTAAATATTCAGTTACTATAATAAGTACATTGGTGAGGGGAGTGGGGGAGGGAGTGGTGGGGGGGGGGGGTACTGCGAGAATTATTCCAAAACATAACTGATAAATTTAAAGGTAAATGTTCAGCTATCAACTAAAAGTATGTAACTGCTTCGACTAAAAAAAATTATCACATATATTATAAACACAAAATGATCAATCTTTTAAAGGCATAAACTTAATATCGGATTTAGCTAAATTACAAATCATGGTTCTAAAACATTCATTATTATCAATACTTGGAATTAGTAAAAAAAGAAAGAAGGAACTGTAAGAACACGCATTCTCAGATTTAAATTTTGTAAAGATGAAACCAAAATATCACAAACATTGTTTGATTATTATCCCGACGCGTGCGTTATACTAAGTGTAACGTACGTTAGGTTCAATCCTGAATTTATTAAACGAGTTCAATAAATTCAGTAATTAATGAGTTCACCTTATACACGAATATATTTATCCTATTCATGACATACCCAAAATAAAGACTGTTTAAAATGCAAAAGAATCATTTTTCATCAGTGAAAATTAATCACAAGGGTCACGTATTTATATGTGAGTAGCGTTGTTGCATGGCACTCGCCCTCCGTGTTGAAACGCTGTAATAGTTGTTATATATATTAACTTGTTAAATACACAGGTGGCAGTATCAGTGTTTGGACACCCCACCCCTATCAGCCCCTGTACTCCTACTACAACCCTGAAAAAAATAATTCAACACTCTAAGGCTTACTATAAGGTACCAAATACAAAACCACCGATGAAATTATATAAAAAAAAAAATTTTCCACTATCAAAATTATAGTTAGATCTATAACTATAATTTTGATAGTGGAAATTTTTTTTTTACATAATTTATAGAGCTTCATATTTATTTATTAAAAATCTTTTTTATCCTTTTGGCATACATTTGACACTTAGAAATAGTATATACAATGTTCATTAGTATGTCGCATATTTTAAAGGCTATTTATCATTATATACAGTAGCGTATCATGTTTTACTAAACTATAAATGCTGTTTAAAATATTTCGTCTAAAAAAAATTCTATATACAAATATTTTGTACCTTAAGTCACGTGATACAGGTGACACAAACAAGTTGAATATTCCGGAAATGAATTTCAACAATAAATAGTTTTAACATTTCGATACTTTTAAAGTATTTGTTTTAAGTTACAACGTCATCAACCACTGCTGGTCAACCAAGAACATGTTTAAAAGTTGCTGGATCATTGCTGCTGTTGTCGCAGTTCACCTGATCGGCACAGGTATTTACCTTATGAAATCAAAATGGCGCTCATGTGTAACACACTAGCAGAATTAGCGACTGATGCCAGTAATGGAAAACGTTGACAGCTTTCTTTCTTTTTTGTTATATTATGAAAACGTTCTTTGAAAACTTAGAGCAAAACAGTTTAGATAAACTTCTAATAACTTCTTAAAAAACATTTAACAAATGAAGAAAATATGAAGCTAAATTACATAAATAATTTGCGACTACTAAATGGGGATCAAGACACTTCACTAACTTGACTTGCCAAATCTAGATATTCTGGATCAGAAGCTGGCTTTTTGCCCATACACAAAATATCACAATAATCAGTGCAGTACATTTAGTTGGACTATTCAATCCCCAAGCCAAACAAATTGTGAGTCAGAACATTTTATCATATATATACAACAGTTACACTTCGGAAAGACAAACATCTACATAATGTAGGTCTTGCAGCCGAAATATTGAGACTATATTCAATCGAGCCTATAAAAGACACTTCACCCAGCAAATTTTGAAAACAAATCACACATCAACAGACACTTCAGCCCCAACATTCATAATGCCCCGGTCACATATTCACGGATAATGCCACGGAAGAGCTACAGTCTAATTGTTCACGGGTTACTACGGAAATGTAAAATTCCGTAGTCTGCTACAGTTCCAGTACAGACACACAACGGTATGAGTACGGAGTCCGACGGATTTACCACCAAAAGCCCCCAGACAGACACGGATTGTTATGGACCGACACGGTTTGATACGGAGCGACACGAATCAGGACGGACACACTACAGTCTGCTACGGTATAAGCACGGGTTAGTACGAATAAGTACGGTCTGATACGGAGAAGAGCGAATTGATTATGATACGGAGAAGAACGAATTGCCACTGATCTATACGGACCTAATACCTCCGTCCGCAACCTCTTGCATGCTCATTTTCAAAATGCCTCACAAGAAAAAAAGAACACCTAGAAAACAAATTGCAGAGTTCAATGATTTTGGTGGAGAGGATTCGGCCAAATCGCGTCCAAACCCCGAGACACATCAGGTCCGATTAAAATGAATTTTTTGAAGGACGCCGGATCCCCAACAAGTTCAGCCATGATAGCCTCATACTAAACATGAAGCGGTCTTCGTAAAAGCACATCTCTAGTCCACCATCTCGTCTGTCTTCTCTTACCTGATTAGATATGGACTAGTAATCATTAAGGAAAAACGTTGATCAATACTGCTTCTCTTTTAATTTTTAAATTTGCTGTTTATTTTACAATTACATTAATTATCGTGAATGTTTATGTTTTAAAAATATGTAAAAAGCTTGTTAATTAATCTTAATATCACTCAAGGGCCAGCGTCCGAGGCTTATGAGACACTTGAAATATGTAACAGTAAATGTTAATCAATTTATTATGAATTGTAGTACGATGTTAATACATTTTAACCTCTATGCATGTCATCAAGCAGATCGACCACTGCCTCCGCATTCTGAGCCATTTCAATATAAAGTTGCAGTAAATGTCAATTATCATTTATTGAATGTTCCCGCAAATATGTCTGTTTTAACAAGAAGGTAGTATTTATACCCTGAAAAAGTACATGATACTTACTTCATTCGTACTATAAACAGTGGTGGACCGTACCATTCCGTACCATTTCCTGTTGCAACGCAATAAACCGTATAAGACCGTGCTAATCCCTGCCTCTCCATAGTACAACGTATTATGATCGTGGCTTTCCATGACAATGCCGTATTAATCTGTATTAAACCGTAGCTTATACATAGGGTAACCGTACAAATACGTAGTTCTCCGTACCAAACCGTGGAAATCCTTGGCAAGTTGGTGGACTACGAATCAGTACGGATTGGTAAGGTTTTCGCACAGACCAGTACGTATCAGTACGGTTTAATACGGACTAGCAGGGATACGCTACGGTTGATTTTTCCATAGCAAATTTTTGTGTATGTTCAAAAATTGTCAAGGATTGCTACGGATAAACAAGGACTACTATGTTTGATTACAGTTACAGTACGGAAAGCTACTGACCAGTACGGGTAGCTACGGACGATGCCGGAATAAATCTGTGGCTCTTCCGTGGGCGTATTCCGTGAATATGTGACCGGGGTATAACACACTTTACCCATCATACGTTGTTTTTTCTAAAGTAAATAATGAACATAAATCAACATTTTATTATTTCTTTATTTTTTTCCTTTTAATAATTTCTGATAAAATTTGTACCAATTTTATTATTTTGTTTTTCAGTAAAATGTCAGCTGGACCCAGAGATTGTAGATGAGATCATACCAGAAGTTACATCACAGGGTGGACAGGCAAAACTTAACTGTACTGTGGTAAATAAGCAGGATGGTCATACTGTAAGTATAACTCATTGATACAGTATACTTACAGTCCATACTTTCTTTATGTGAATATTTATAATGAGAACTTAAATAAGTAACATCCATAAACAGTGCCGATATGAACTGTGTAAATTGATAAAAAAGTAATATGGAATGAAAACCAAGAGTTATCTGTCCTGAATCGCGTGTAAAATCCACCTTATGTGCTGATCACTGTATTCTAGAATATGTTAAGGATATACATTTGTAAAGTTTACAAACATGTTACATGCATTTTATATGTATTTAGAATCCAACTCTTGTGCATTGTCCACTAAATTAGTTATTAATTGAAATAATCATTAATGTATAGATTTATAATGTTAAGATACATATGAAAAGCTCGAGCATGCTATTTTGACATAATACTTTGATTATGACTAATATGAGTATTAACTATTGTTTTGTCACTTCCATTCCTTTTTGACACTTGCAGCATTGATGATCTAGTGATTTACTGTGAAAATTCATGTAATATGAGATAACTTGTATATTATTATGATAACATTTTGGAGATTCTATTTATTATTGCTACTCATTTAAGCCATTTTGTGTTGCAGGTAATTTGGACATTTTTAGATTCAAAGTCCGGTGGTGAAATTATTACCAACGATGAAAACATATTTGTTGAAAACAAAGTATGTAAAGAGGGCTCAAAGAAGTACGAGTTAGCAAAGCGTGAATTCAACAAGCGTATAACATACATGTTGGTGATAAACTGTTTAGAAGTGGTGGATTATGGTTATTACAAATGTTACATTCAAATCAGAGGCACTGGCTCGGCATCATGGCCTTCAAAAATAGGACATCTTATTGTCCAAGGTAAATGTTATTTATATGTAATTATTCATCAGTTAGATCTTTATGTAGAAGTTGTACATCAATTTATCTGGTATTAAGATATAAATGTACAGAATAGATCTTTGTGTTTAGTTGTCAACTTGACTGGCTTAGATATAAATGAATAAAATGTCTTTGACCTCTGCTTAGCCTAATTGTTCTACTAGTCTGTAATAATATTGCAAATATTGACAAATTAATCTACATATAATTGCAAATGTTGACCAGTTGAAATAATTGTTAAAATATTTATATTAATATAACAATAATGTGTTAATTATTTTATGATATAATTTAGTTACTTTAATTAGTTGAATTATGTCAGTGCCTTATTATTTATATGAAGTTACAGGAGCTTCAAATCAGTATATATAAATGAAAATAATTTAATTAATAATTTTGATAAAGCTTGGTTAAATCCGACACTCTTGTTAAGGTATTAGGACCCTAATGGGCACTATCAGGAACTAAAGAATTGACATCATAGGTCAGATGTATACCTTAAAGTACACCTGTATGCAAAATTTAAACAAAGTTTACCGTACGGAAATCAAGTTATGGCCACTTTTCTGAACTCAAGCTAGGATGTTATGAGGGCCCTTTTTTAGAAATGAGGAACCTTTAAATAATCTGCAATAACATTCTAATGAAAAATGTTTTCCCATGAATTTTTGGTAAGAAACAAATAGTAACATTCAGCTAACAATCCACATAAGCAAAATTATGATTTCTACTTAAAATTTATGAAATCTGTATAAAAATGTTACCCTGCCCCACCCATTTTTACCTCATGTCTGACCATTTTTCTACTTAAGGAGCCTAAATAGAAACATTCTTAAAATTTACCCAAATGAGTGCCTGTTTTCAAAGTTTCCCTAAATTTTTAAAAAAGTATATTGGTTGATCTTGTAAAATATGAAATACTTTTACCGTCTAGTTTTGATTATATTACACTTTGAAAATATCAGGTACCATATTTATTACTAGATTTAGCATAATTTAGCCAATAAATACCTATATAAATTAAAAATTCAAAATTAAACACTTTTTTCTTTCCATATGGGACATGAGAGATACATAAATAATGTTAAAAGAAAAAAAGAAAGAAAAAAAAAAGTTGACCCTTCTGGGGATTGAACCCATGGCCCTCATTTTCAATGTAGTTAACAGTAATTCTAGCCTATTTGAATACTCTTCAAAGCGGAGGTAATGCATTAGGGTGCTAATACCTTAATTGTGATAAGAATATTTCTTGATTAATTTAATCATACCGTATTTAAGTTCCACCAACTATTACCAGTAAGAACGTTGCAGTGTTACAGCTGGACGTGGGTCACTCTCACAACCTTGAATGTTCTGCGACAGGCGTACCCGCTCCAAATATAACGTGGGTACGGTCAGATGGAGGACTTCTTCCTGGATTTGATGGCGCTCAACTAAGGGTAGGTTCCTTGATTGAAAGGATACATGTTGATTAATTTGTTGTTTTCTTTTGTGAAATATACTATTATAAGATTTCTTTTTTTATTTTTATTGTCTTTATTGATTGGTTCGTAATTTTGAGCCGAGAGATCGACATAAACTTTATTTTTATCACTGTTGATAATTTTAACCACCTGTAACATTCTAACGGTCAAATTTATATATATATAAAAAATAATTTACTGGTAGTAGAAAAATAATGTTCTTAGTAAAATAATTGTCCATATTCTCCTTTGAAGTGATATGTTACATTATCACTTGATAGATCTTGTGTGAATCTTCAAGGGGTGGCGAAATCCTATGTTAAATTTTACTTGTCCATTTTTATCTGGAGCATTTCTTTACTTGTCTGTATGATACTTATATAGTAAATTATTGAAAATTTTCATTTGCCCAATACTGACAATTGATTTTGTCATCCCTGACAGTTAAAGAATTTAATGTTATGGTAATTTGAGGCTATTATGTATATATATAGAATGATATAAAGAAAAGAAATAAAGCCATTTAATAGTATAATTTTTATCTTCCATGTTTTGTAACACTTAAATCAATATAATAATTGCTTTTGGCATAATTGATCTATTTTTGATATGTTTTTGTTTCAGAACACTGTATTACCTTTAAAGAATGTAACAAAGGAAGACCGAGGGCTTTATAAATGTATTGCGGATAATCAGGTCAGGCCGCCAGATGTATATCTCGTCTCACTAAGCGTCTTCTTCAAACCTGAGACACTTGCTGTACAAGATACTGTCGGTCAGGCTCAAAATAGACAGTTTGATGCTAAGTTAGAGTGTCGAGTGTCCGGTAAGTATTTAAGACAGCTTGCTCATATTCAGTTTACCAGTTTGTAAAATTTCTTTCTTATATTTTTCTATTAAATACATATCTATCATATGTTTTCTAATTCTGTCCCTGTTCTTACTTGTATTCTTTACAAGTATTTGACAACTTCTCCACTTTAATCAATAGGGGATGTTACAGTATAATGTCTTCAAGTAAATTGTCACAGAAAAAAAATGTACAAGATATTTAGTTTTGTAAGTTTGTCTTGAACCAAAACTTGGTAGTTTTACAAATTATATTCTATGTAATTGGTATGACATGAAACATATGAGGAGATGGAATTATTCAAAATACTAATGATATTGGTGTAACTCTTTCATATTACATGATTTTTTTTTATTTGAAGGAATCATGCATAAAAAGTTATTTAAATTTTTTCCTGTGATTACTACTAACATATTAAGGAACAATTTTCTATGTATTTAAGTAGGTTATATTTTGTCCCATACTCACAGGTTATCCTGAGCCAGAAGTGGTGTGGTACAAAGAACCGACCAGAAGTGAAGGAAACACGCAATTAATGCAGCTAAATGACAATGAGAAATATGAAATAACAAAACTCATTGCCACAACAACATTACGTTTCCAAGAAGCCTGGTATGTGCTCCGAATTAAAAATGTGGAGGCAAACGATTACACTAAATATTACTGTGTGGCAAGAAACAGAATTGGAGAAGACAGACAAACAATCATTGAGCTTTTTGGTAAGTTTTTATTAATTGTGCTTCTTGAGTTGTATTCTTTTTATTGTTTTCTTGTGTATGTTATAGGCTATGGTAAACATTTGATTTATTTCGTAACCGTTAAGAGTATTTACTGGTGGCTAAAAAATTTGTTTGGATCACAGGCTTTGAGTCTGACCAGCGTGCAATAATAGCATATCCATGTACTGCGTATCAGGCTCTATACAGTTGACCGTCTCATCCTGCAAATTTAAAACTGAGTAAGTTTAAATTCAAAGTAGGCCAAGACTTTCACACAAATGCAGCATGGCAAGGGTTACGTTTAATTCACTTAAAATTTATGTATTGTCTATACAGAAAATGAATTGAGGATGAAAATAATTTGTGTCAAATTATCATTAATTATGTATAACATATACAATGTCATGTATATATAAATGATAATTAAGTGCCAAACAAGAAAAATTACACAAAAAAATATCTGACATTTACTGATTTTAATATAATGCCGACCGGTTTCTATTTATCGGGGGCAAAATATACATCATATAAAGTTCCTTCTGACTTTGGAAATCATTAATTATGAATGTCTTTACTTCCAGTAAGCTTTCCTTTTACTACATGTATCACATCAGAGTTCAGCAGTTCACTTTTATTTCAGAAACAATGGAGTGTCAAGGGGCCAATTGTCCATCTTTCGAAGCCCAAGGTGCCTCAGCAATCTCTGTATCGTTGTTGGCAACAGTTGCTATGGTTACACTCGCAAAACTTATGTTGTAGCTGTGATCTGATTGGCTTTTAATGACTATGCATATCTTCTCATTTACATATTTTTGTTAGTAACACATGATTTGAAAATGTATTCAGAAAATAGTAACTAAATGTGAAAACTTATAAAAAATGGATCATCTATTATTATTAAGAATTTAAAATGTCTTTATTCAGTAATAAAGATAATGAATGGTTGAGGAAAGGAATGAAATGTTTCTGTAAAGAAGCTTATAACATAATATTTTTTTTATTTATACTTCATTTAAGGTGTATAATCAAGTTATATATATATAATTTTATTTTTTTGCAATATTTGAAATGTAAACAGCAAAATATGTTTGCCATGTTAGCATCTGTTTCATAGAATAAAGTAATGAATTATACGTTCGGCTCAAACATGTCAAAAATTTATTTCTTTTAAATGTTATAGATAGATCATGGTACTCGTACATTTCAATAATTTGTTAATTTTATAGCATTTTTAGTTTGCAATCAATAGCTCTTTAGAACTGCAGAAAATACACAATATAGTGACAATATTCAAATAGAAAAAAATATATCAAAATAGAAAAAACCTGAACATTTTTGATAAATTGAAATAGAAAATCATGAACATTCCTGATTTTTTAAAGTTCTTCAATGTTATCCATTTTTGTACATACATGTATATTATAAATTGTAGAAACATTTATACAAAGTTACATATCATACCAATTTTATAAATATTATATTTTTATACAGGGACCCTTCTGTTCATGCTATCGTCATGTTTTTTTAAAAATTCATCTTCATTTGTATAATAAGTCAAAATTTCATATTTTCTCATCCATTCATTCATTTATACATTCAAGTATGAAATAATCCATTAAAATAAAGTTTTAGTTAAAAGTTCAATACACAAGAAATATAATAAATTATTACAAGAAATGTTTGGGAAAAGGGTTTTTGACGCATTTTTATAAATTTCTATAAATTAAAAAGACACAAATTTTGAAGATTTTTTTAAAAAAAATTAAATAATGTTGATAAGGCATTTTGGTTAATAAATAAATGATTTTTATGATTTGATTTATTCTCAACTTTCAACATTCCTAGGAATATCACATTACACACAATGTGTATATTGTAAATATTTATTGTATATAATACTTTTTGTAACATTCCAAAATAAAGATTTATAATTTTCAGTTGTTATTTGTTTCATTGTCATTACAATCCCTTGTAAGTTAGAGTTCACTTTTTGTTGAATTGATTTGTGCATATAACTTGCTTTCCATAGTTCATGTGTGCCATATGAACTTTCAGGGGTATATTGTCATGGTCAAATATTTGTTTGTTTTATTGGGTTTTACGTCACACAGACACAGTATAGGTCATATGTCGACGTTCCAGCTTTACTGGTAAAGGAAGACCTCAGGTGCCCTTCTTTGCATTATTTCAGGCTCGAACGGGTACCTGAGTAGAATCACCGATGTTCCGTAGCTGGATAGCTGCATCACATGAAAGAATTCAAAGTCCCTGTCGGGATTCGAACCCAAAGCAGTGAGGAGCTAGTGGTTTGAAGACAACGATCTTAACCACTCGGCCACGGACGCCCCCTCAAATATCATAGCTGTAGCTATAAATACAAATAAGTCATTGGGTAAAAATCTAGAGCAACTGTTTTTATACAACAGGTAGGTTACCCAAGTCAAAATCTAGATAAATCTGAAACTGTGTTTATTAGCTGTGTACTGTTTACGAAAATTAAAATTTTATCTATATTTTAAAGCAGCATGCCTCCAGATGAGCGAAAATATTTGAATAAATCAAACTTGTGAAAAATGTACTTTTAGGAAGATTTTAAGAATAGTAGAACAAATCAAATAACAATTTACATGTTGTAAGCAATCGATGGTTAATTTTTCATTATGTGTAACTATATTTCTACTGCTAACGCAGTAAGGGCATTTTTTTGCATATTTTGACTTCTTTGTAGTTAACGTGGGTAATAAGTGCCATTGATAATGTGTTAATTGCTATCTCTTGGTTACTATACAATATTAATTTAATTTCAATATCAAAATTTTCATGAAAATAAGCATAAATCTGGAGGCGTTCTGCTTTAAAGCTATAGCTCAAAATACAAACAAATGTCGGACGACACATATGCTCCCCTTTCTAGCCCTTGACTCATATTATTGGTAATTTTGTTATAGAAACATGCCATAAACGTGTACATGGAAGTGTTCAGTTATGGAAAAAAGAAAAATAATGAGCTGCACTAGTTATAACCAATTAATATGCGAAATATATTAAGACCTTTTGATATAAAGTTTTCACGTTACTAAGTGAAAACCGTTCTTACATTTAAGGCCGCTGTGACATTGAGACTAGTGATCCCAATAATAGGGATTATCTACTTCAATATGTGTCTTTGTGATCAATAATTTTCAAGAGAATGAGCCGAAACCATTCTGACATTTAAGGGACCTATGACATAGACCTTTGACAAAGTGATCCCAATAGGGGACATGTACAAGTTATGACCAATCGATATGTGAAATATGAAGAGTTTGTAATAAATAGTTTTCAAGAAAATAAGCAGAAACCATTGTGACATTTAAGGCCCCTGTGACCTTGACCTTTGGACTAGCAATCCCAAAATCAATGGGGGTCATCTACTAGTTATGACCAATCACTATGTGAAATATGAAGACTTTGTAATAAAAACTTTCAAGATATTTTTTTTTCAGGCCCCCACATGGGGTAACCCCATTTATTCGCTTCGTCACATAACCATTTGTGGGTCGCAGCACATCCCACAGTGGTTTTATGATTATTTATATTCATGCATATGAACGGGTATACCAGATGTGAAACCATTGTAATGAAAGAAAAGACAAACAACAATAACAAAAGAAATAAAAAAGAATAGAAAAAAAACACCACACAAAAAATAACAACAACAAAACACAAAGAGACAAGGACGACACATGCATTCACACTCGCACTCATAACCGTATTCTAAAAAAATAGTTTCAAAAGCATCGACATCATATAAAATTTAATGCATGCTATTTTGGCTTGAATTATTTCTTAATTACTTAAACTCAAAACAATACTTTTCAGTGTAGAAATAAATAAGAAATAAGTATAATATACTAAAAATAAGTTTTTTGCGTTAGATAGATCATCCTTTGCATTATAGCCAAACATCATTTCTTTTATACCCAAAGATAAAAAAGGTGCTTCATTTATTTCAAGAAATTCATTTATAATTTTTTTGACAATGGGACACAGCCAAAATAGATGCTCAATGCTTTCAACATCATTATTACAAAAAGAACATAAAGGACTTTCTTTATACTTAATTTTGTATAAAAGATGATTAGTTCCAATAATCCTGTGTAAAATTCTTGTTTTGAACCATTGGAACTTGGCACATTTTGTAATTGTAAAAGACATTTCAAATATAATTTTCCATTCATTTTCACTAAAAGCTAAATTAAGGTTGTTTGTCCATTTTTCGATACTTGTGGGCTTTGATTTGTTTTTATTTAATATATTATAGAAAAGTTTTGCTCCATTTATGTCTGATATAATATCTTTAATGTATAGCAGTATGTCTGGGCCAATGCTTTTCTGTGGAATGTTATAAATTATAATATATTTATTTAAAAATTGCTTTACTGATAAAATCATACCGTTGAAAATTAAGATATTAGATAGGACATTGTATCGATTAATAAATTCATTATAAGATAAAAACTTTCCATCAGGTGCTTTTAGGTGTTCTATGTTATAAACACCTGCATCGAACCACGATTTTAAATATACGCTTTTTGAACCAATTAATATGTTATTGTTATAAAATAAAGAATGTTTTCCGAAAGAATGATTTTCGATGGAAATTAATTCTATATATCGTGATAAGGCTGTAAAAGTGTCCTTCCAAAAAAAGATTGTTTCTTTTGCAAGTTTATCAAAGTAATGGTTTCCGCAGTGAAAAAACTTTTGCATATCTATTTTGTCGTAAAGAATACTTTTCCAACTAGCATTTGAGATTGTTCTTTAAACCATGTTATTCTAATGCCATTATAACGGCAGAAATATTTATCATTTGCAAGCAGCCCTCAGCATAGACTTATTTTTTACATTTCCTTGCCAAATAAAGTCATAAAACATTTTATTAGATACACTGATTACATCTCCAGAAGGGTTTGGTAGTGAAATGAATAAATGATTTAGAGATGAAATCAAAAGAGATTCAATAACATCAATTTTACATATTGGTGTGAGAATTCTTCTTTTCCAATTTTGAATAACCTTTCGGATATTTTCTATTCATTCGCTATAGTTTAAATCTATAATATGACTTAAGTCAACGTGAAAATTTTATATATTAATAAAAATAGCAATAATATCAATAAAATAATTCTCTGTATATGTAGAAAATACGGTCCCGTATATCCCTGGTATATTTATAGTATACTAGGGATAACAACCTTGATAAATTCTGTATACGGAATTTTATTCTCCGTATACTTCAAAAGTACGAACAAATAAAACGTACATGTATATGGGGCAAATACGGAATTCCGTATACGCCTGATGCATATACGGACTTCCCTTATACCCGATGTTCCCTATACGGACTCGTATATTTGGTCCGTATATTCGACAAATACATCCCGTACACGCCCGTATTTGTCAAAAATACGGGACCGTATATTCCCGTATATCAGTATATTTTTCGCAGTGTAATCACAAAGGTAGAATTTTTATCCGTATGTATAAACACGTTTGTTTTTTTTACAATCTCTCTGTAATGATCTTTTCTGTTTCGTTTTGTTTTTCGCTTTTTCGCAAAGACATTACTTTGATGTCCATTTCAATATAACTTTAATTTAATGATATACTATTCATTGTGCTTTAAAAAGTTTTGTTTTTGTTTTTCTCCTTCACTCTATTCATGCAGTACATAATAAATGAATAAATACTTAGAAGTCAGTTTTTATAATAGTGCATATTATGCCTTGCAGGAATCACCACTTAGCATTTAATGTATGCTTAAATACATATGATGTCCAAAATTAATATCTAGTGGTTTGGGGGAACTGTTCTCTTTTTTTTCCACAATGAAACTTTCTTGTGTTAAAGTACAACAGATCAAATTGTATTTTTCTGTGTGTGTTTTTTTATTCCCAGTAATTCGTCTACCATTGTTCTTTTTATTTTTTATTTTTCTAAGAAATAGATGTAAGCTTCTAAGAAAATATAAGACGCTTTTATCTTAAGTTTAGCTCGATTTTTCATTTTTTTTTTAAATTTAAGCTATAAACTAAATTATTCTGGTTAAAAGAAGACAGTGTCTTTCAAGCGCTTGTTTATACACAAAAGAAAACGAAGAATAGTCCAGCCATATGGATTCATTTTACTCTCACATTTTTGCATTTAAACAAAATAAAAAATATATCCAATGTATAAGTGATTTATCTATTTTTCTCAAGTTTTATACTGGGAACAATTGTTCTTTCTGTGTTTATTTTGTATATATGTATGTTTGTATGCATCTGTTTATGTATGCATGAATGATTTATTTATTTGTTTGTGTTTTTTCACATTACCTTCCTTGAAACATGTATTTTTTCTTTTTCAAATATACGTTTTAGATGAATTCAAGTAGCCTAAATATCCTATCTTTGAATTGTAGAGGTCTTGCAGTTTATCACTTGATCACAAATGCCGCAAATGGCAAAAAGCAATGGAAGTGACGAACATATACTTAATTTACAAAACAATAGTTAATACATGTAATCAAAGTATTATGTAAAAATAACACGAGCATTTCATACATCTAAACATATATTAATCTATACATTATTTCAATTAATAACTAATTTAGTGGACAGTGCACAAGAGTTGGGTTCTAAATACATATAAAATACATGTAACATGAATGTAAACTATACAAATGTATATCATTAACATATTCTAGAATACAGTGATCAACATATAATTATGATCGCAAATCAAGACAGATAACTCATACCTTTTCATTCAAATATTCCTTTGTAATTTACGCAGTTCATATCTACTCTGAGGCAATGTTTTGAATGTATTCTTATTGTAAATATTCACATTAAGAGAGTTTATTAGACTGTTTGACTCTGAGTATTGATGAGTAATGATTATTTATACATACAGTATGAGCATCCTGCTTATTTACCACAGTACAGTTAAGTTTTGCCTGTCCGCCCTGTGATGTCACTTCTGGTATAATCTCATCTACAATCTCTGGGTCCAGCTGACATTTTACTGTAAAACAAAATAATAAAATTGGTACACATTTTATTAGAAATTATTAAAAGGAAAAAAAAAAAGAAATAATGAAAGGTTGATTTATGTTCAATATTTACTCTAGAAAAAACAACATATGATGGGTAAAGTGTGTTATGAATGTTGGGGCTGAAGTGTCTGTTGATGTGTGAATTGTTTTCAAAATTTGCGGGGTGAAGTGTCTCTAGGCTCGATTGAATAGTCTCAATATTTCGGCTGCAATACCTATATTATGTAGCCAGCTTCTGATCCAGAAAAAAAAAATGTCTCAGAATATCTAGATTTGGCAAGTCTAGGTAGTGAAGTGTCTTGATCCCCATTCAGTACATTTAAGTTAATTTGTATTAGCAATTTATGTAAATAATCAGCTTCATATTTTCTTCATTTGTAAAAGGTTTTTTTTCAGAAGTTAATAAAAGTTTATCTAAATTGTTTTCCACTAAGTTTTCCAAGAACGTTTTCATTATATAACAAAAAAGAAAGAGAGCTGTCAAAGTTTTCAATTACTGGCATCAGTCGCTTATTCTGTTTGTGGGTTACATTTTTATGTCATGATCGCCATTTTGATTTCACAAGGAAAATACCTGTGCCGAACAGGTGAACTGCGACAACAGCAGCAATGATCCAGCAACTTTTAAACATGTTCTTGGTTGACCAGCAGCGGTTGATTACGTTGTAACTTAAAACAAATACTTTAAAAGTATCGAAATATTAAACTATTTATTGTTGGAATTCATTTCCGGAATATTCAACTTGTTTGTGTCACCTGTATCACGTGACTTCAGGTACCAAATTGTCAAAAACATAATCGTTCTGGATAATCAATGTTCCACATTTATATTTTGTCTCTATTACAAAAGACCCTCCATATTCCCATACATGACATGTGGCAAAAAATGTTAATTAATGTATGTTCTTTTGAAATGATTTTATGTTTCTGTTAAGGAACGGTTCAGTGGAGCATTGATATTTAGGTTGTCATATATTATATTTGATATATTTATACATTTGTTAGGTTATATTTAAACTGCATCAACTCTGAATAATTTTCTTGTTTATGGAACCATTCGTTGTTTATTGACTGTCGATAATTTAACATTTCTAAAGTGACATTATATATATGCAAGGGTGTATAGTTAATATTTTGACACAATTCCTTTCAATTTATAATTATCTCTGCATGAATAACAAATAACTCATGTGGTCCAAGAAAACTTCTGTAAATATCCATCAGAATTTACCTGTAGCATTCAATTTATTAAAAGAATGGGACAGTCTTCTTATAAAATAGGCAGAGTTATAGTTTATCCTAAACACTATGTTAAAAAATCAACTGTTGGTCAATCACCATTATAACAGGCAATCTTTTGAAATATTTAGTTAATTCAGATCACATTGACAATGAAAAAATGAGCATAATGTCACTTTTACTTGTATGTTGATGAGAAACATCAAGAGTTGGTCATAATCAGACTTAAGTTTTCAAAAGAATTTATTGTTGACTTTCTTGATATTTCTCCATTGTCCTCGAGTTGTGTCCCTTGAATTTGATATTCAAAATATACAGAATCAGATAGATTGTCAATTAATTTTTTGGGGGGCAAACTGTTTCTTTATTAACTGCTGTACTAGTGATCTCTTGCTATGAACTTGAATAGCTATCAAAAACAAAATACTTTACTAAATTGTGGAGATTTTTAATGGCCTAGCAAAACAGTGAAACTTTTGTGACAAGATTTTTTTTATTCCCTGTAAGTAAAAAATTTGAGACCAGGGTCATACAGCATATTTCATTCAATTGAGCAATTTAAAGGCGACAAATACACTCTAAAACTTGTTTGAAACTATCTCCATTGTATTTGACCCGATCAATATACTTTAGATCAATTGTTTTCATATTTGACTCAACATAAAGAATTTCACACAGCAATATAGTACATAGCTTCATTGTTGAAAAAGTTGCCAAATAACGTAAATGAAAATGGTAACTTTCTGAATAGGAATATGTTTTAAGTGTAAAACTACTATGTTATGGTACATGTAAAATGTATAAGGTTTATTCAATTTAATTGTTGATGGAATACTGGACTGAGATTTGGTATTTAACATTTGTTTACATATTGAATGAGGGTGATGATAAAAAAATTGTGCTTTACTGATAGACATGATTTATAAATATTTAAATGATATGTACATAATAGAAATAAATAAAAAAAATATTGTACAGATCTGTCAATTATTGTTTATGTTGTTTTCTCTCACACAAATATCTCAAATTATAATTTATGATGTGATAACTTATTATCAAGGTTTCCATTTGGAAGTCCTAAACTGAAAGTGTGACACGGCCGTGTTGAAGTCACATTAATTTGGTAAGAAAGGGAAAACATTAGATTTTGGAAGTCGCAAGCCGAAATCAGGAGAAAATGACTCCCAAACTTCCACTTATGGAAGCCCTGTATTTTAGTTTGCAGTGTAAAGAATGAAGTCTGTTCAACAGTTTGTGATATCTTACTGGATTGAAGTGGGTTTGCAGATATTCAACTTATTGCGCATGTTTTTGCTCCCCAAAGGGAGGGCATACATTTTCATCACATTGTCTGTCCCTCTGTCCATCCAATAGCATTCCTTTCTGGAGAATAACAGAAGTATTGAATGTACTTGATAAAGTTGTCACACAGTGATAAAGACAAAAGAGTTAAATAACCAGAAGTCTGCCTTATTTTATTTTTGAATTATCTCCCTTCAGTCAATTATTCTTGTCTGAGCTAATTATAACTCATTAAAACTTCATGATAGACTTGTGACAGGAGGTTCAATGTTAAAGAACCGTAACTATGTTATTTTAGTTTAGCTCACCTGAGCACAACATGCTGATTTTGCGTTATTGTAAAAAGGTTGTGTCTATTTTCTGTCATCATCTTAGCTATAGCTTAAATATTTGGCAAGAAACATCGTTTAGTTGACTTCTTCCAAGTTTGTTCAAATTATAGCAATTGGGGACAAATAAGTTCCAACATGACCCAGTGACCTTTTTCATATGCCCGTTTGAAAGTTCAAATGAGATATATTATCGGAATGCCCCTGGCGGGCAGGCAACATGCAAAATTGTGCAGAGCATATCAGTTTTCGTACACACACAGAGGGATCTTAATGAAACTTCATAGAAATGTTCACCACTATGAGAAGCCGTGTCGCACACATTAACAAGGTCTCTAGGTCAAAGGTCACACTTGAATCTCTTTAAAAATGCTTGTCCAGAGTAATATTTCTATATGAATTGAAAGATTTTAATATAACTTGGCACACATTTTCATCATTGTGAGGCTGAATGTTGCGCATTGAATTCAGGTCCCTGCACCCAAGGTCAAGAATACACAGAGAAAAAATCCCAGATAAAAATACAAAAATATGTTGTTTTTTATCTTCATAAAGCCCCTATTGATTTTGGGGTCACTAGGTCAAATTTCAATGTCACAGGGGCCAAATGTTAGGACTGTTTCTGCCTATTATCTTGAAAAGTGTTTATCACAAAGTTTTCATATTTCACATAGTAATTGGCCATTACTAGAAGATGACCCCTTTCGATTTAGGGGTTACTAGTTCAAAGGGCAAGGTAATAGGGGCCTTAAATGTCATAATGGCTTCCGCTTATTGTCTTGAAAACTATTACAAACTTCATATTTTACATAGTATTTGGTCATATATAGTAGATAACCCCTAATGATCTTGGGGTCACAAGGTTTAAGGTCACAGGGGCCTTGTTGTAAGTATGGTTTCTGCTCATTATCTTGAAAGCTTTATATCACAAAGTCTTCATATTTCACATAGAGATTGATCATAACTAGTAAATGACCCCAATTGATTTTGGGATTGCTAGTCCAAAGGTCAAAGTCACAGGGGCCTTAATGTCACAATGGTTTCTGCTTATTTTTTTTTGAAAACTATTTATTACAAACTCTTCATATTTCACATATTGATTGGTCATAAATTGTAGATAACCCCTTTTGAGATCCCTTTGTCAAAGGTCTATGTCATAGGTGCGCCTTAAAAGACAGAATGGTTTCGGCTCATTCTCTTGAAAATTATTTATCACAAAGTCTTCATATTTCACATATTGAAAGGCCATATGTAGTAGATAATCCCTATTGATAATGGGATCACTAATTCAAATGTCAAGGTCAGAGCGGCCTTGAATGTATGAATGATTTCCACTTATTACCGTGAAAACTTTATATCAAAGGTCTTAATAAATTTCACATATTAATTGGTTATAACAAATAGGTCATTTTTTTCCATAACTGAACACTTCCATGTACACGTTTTTGGCAAGTTTCTATAACAAAATTACCAATAATATGAGTCAAGGGCTAGAAAGGGGGGCATATGTGTCGTTCGACATTTCTTGTTTGCATTTTGAGCTAAAATTTTAATTTTCGTAAACAGGTACACAGCTATAAAAATAGTTTCATTTACCTAGATTTTGACTTGATGACCTACCTTTTTGTATAAAAACAACCATTGTTTATAGTTGGCCTAGATTTTTACCCAGTGACTTATTTGTATTTATAGCTACAGCTATGATATTTGACCATGACAATATACTCCTGAAAGTTCATATGGCACAAATGAACTATGGAAAGCAAGTTATATGCACAAATCAATTAAAAGAAAAGTGAACTCTAACTTTACATAGGATTGTAATGACAAATAAAATTATAAATCTTTCTATTGGAATGTTAGAAAATGTATTATATAAAATAAATAAATATTATATATTGTGTGTAATGTGATATTCCTAGGAAAAAAAATGTTGAAAGTTGAGAATAAATCAAATAATAAAAATAATTTATTTATTAACCAAAACGCCTTATCAACATTATTCAATTTCTTAAAAAATTTCCTAAAAATTTGAGTCTTTTTAATTTAAAGTTATCATAAATGGGTCAAAAAATCTTTTCCCAAACATTTCTTGTAAGAATCTATGATATTTCTTGTGTATTGAACTTCTAACTGAAAATCTGTTTTAATGGATTAATTCATACTTGAATGTATACATGAATGAATGGATGAGAAAATATGAAATTTTGACTTATTATACAAATGAAGATGAATTAAAAAATATAAAAATATAATGTTTATAAAATCGATATGATATGTAACTTTGTATACATGTTTCTACAATTAATAATATACACATATGTACAAAAATGGATATCACTAAAGAATTTTAAAAAATCAGGAATTTTTTTCTTCAATCTTTCTATTTTGATACATCAGAAATGTTCATTTCTTTCTATTTGGATATTATCACTATATCATGTATTTTCTGCAGAAATAGCTATTGATTGCAAACTAAAAATGCTATAAAATTAACAAAAATGTACGAGTACCATGATCTATCTATAACATTTAAAAGAAATAAATTTTTGAGTCGAACGTATAATTCATTACTTAATTCCATGAAACAGATTCTAACATGTCAAACATATTTTGCTGCTTACATTTCAAATATTGCAAACAAAATATAATCTTATATTGATTATACGTCTTACATGATGCATAAATACAAAAAAAAATTATGTTATAAGCTTCTTTTCACTAAAATTTCATTCCTTTCCTCAACCATTCATTATCTTTATTACTGGATAAAAGCATTTTTAATTCTTAATATTGATAGATGATCCATTTTTTATAAGTTTTCACATTTAGTTAATATTTTCTAAATACATTTTCAAATCATGTGTTACTAACAAAAATATGTAATTAAGAGCCAATCAGATCACAGCTACAACATAAGTTTTGCGAGTGTAACCATAGCAACTGTTGCCAACAATGATACAGAGATTGCTGAGGCACCTTGGGCTTCGAAAGATGGACAATTGGCCCCTTGACACTCCATTGTTTCTGAAATAAAAGTGAACAAAAAAATGAAATAAAGTTAAACTAGATTTTTTTCAATATCCAATCCAAACTATTTACACTGCTGAACTCTGATGTGATACATGTAGTAAAATGAAAGCTTACTGGACGTAAAGACATTCATAATTAATGATTTTCAAAGTCTGAAGGAACTTTATATAATATATATTTTGCCCTGATGATAGAGAAGAGAAACTGGTCAGCATTATATTAAAATGACAAAAATCAGTTAATGTCGGTTATTTTTTTAATATTATTTTTCTTGTTCTTGCACGTTTTTGTCATTTAAGTATACATGTATATGCAATATATACCTTGGCACACATCATTTTCATCCTTGATTCTTTTTATAGACAAAACATATTTCAGGCAATAGTCCTTGCCATGATTTATCTGTGTGAAAGACTAGTTCAAATTTAAATTTGTCAAGTTTTGAATATGCAGGATTTCAAAACCAAAAATGAGACAGTCAACTGTATAGAGCCTGATACGCAGTAAATGGATATGCTATTATTGCATGCTGGTCAGGCTCAAAGCCTGTGACAGAGACAAGTTTTACAGACAGTAAACAATCGGTACAGACAGTTAACACTTGTTACAGACAATAAACATTTGTATGTTTAAGAAATTAACCAAAATTTATCCATAGCCTATAACATACACAAGAAAACAATAATAAGAAAACTTAAGAAGCACAATTTATAAATTTACCAAAAAGCTCAATAATTGTGTGTCTGTTTTCTCCAATTCTGTTTCTTGCCACACAGTAATATTTGGTGTAATCGTTTGCTTCCACGTTTTTAATTCGGAGCACATACCAGGCTTCTTGGAAACGTAATGTCGTTGTGGCAATGAGTTTTGTTATTTCATATTTCTCATTGTCATTTAGCTGTATTAATTGCGTGTTTCCTTCACTTCTGGTCGGCTCTTTGTACCACACCACTTCCGGCTCAGGATAACCTGTTAGTATAGAACAATATAACCTCTTTATATTAAATTCTTCACTATAAAGTGTTGAGAATTGAGTACCGCTCAAGCCGGTGCTAGGGGGCGTGAGTGATGTTGCACTTATTCACTATCCCTCATGTACAGACTCAATCAAACCGAGTCTGCAATTCTTATGTTATTTTGTTGTGATTAATGTTTCACTTTGTTTCCAGAATTTTCTCAAAAACATTGTTGAATGTAACCCCTATAAATACAAAGCTGTCCTTCAGAGAAACATAAAAAACTATATCTTGCATTAATATTTCTTGTATATCTGTGACAATTTAGTTGAAGACAATACTGTTACACCACGATTAATCATCCTCTGTTGATTAAAATGGAGAATTTGTCAGATACTTGTAAAGAAAACAAGGGAAGCACTGCTAAAAAATTGAAAAACATGATAGGTATGTATTTAATATAAAAATATCAGAAAGAAATGATACGGACAGGTACTGAAATAAGCAAACTATTTTAAATATTTACCTGATACTCGACACTCTAGCTTAGCATCAAACTGTCTATTTTGAGCTTGCCCGACAGTATCTTGCACAGCAAGTGTCTCAGGTTTGAAGAAGACGCTTAGTGAGACAAGATATACATCTGGCGGCCTGACCTGGTTATCTGCAATACATTTATACAGCCCTCGGTCTTCCTTTGTTACATTCTTTAAAGGTAATGTGGTGTTCTGAAATAATTGCATACCAAAAATAGATAAATCATGCCAAAAAGCAAATATTATATTGATATAAGACTATAAGTGTTAAAAGAAAGGGAAGATTAAAATTATACATGTTTCTTCCTTAATATTATCCTATATCTATATAATAATGTTTACCTCAATTTAAAATTACCATTACATTTAATTCTTGAACTGTCGGGGACAGCAAAATTAATCCTCAGTATTACCCAGGTTGCCCCACAACCTGTATGGGCAAGCGGAAATTGTCGATAATTTACTATATAAATATCGTATGGACAATTTAAGAAATGCGCAAGATAAAATGAGCAAGTAAGCCAAAGTCAGACCCTTGAACTGTTAGACAAGATCTATCAAGTGATATATTACACAGGAGAATATGGACAATCATTTACTGAGAACATTTTGTTTCTACTATACTAGTATGTTATACTATATATAAAAATTTGACTGAATGTTATAGGTGGTAAAAATTATCAACAGTGATAAATTATGAAATGTGTGTCTATATCTCAAAATTATGAGGCAATCAATAAGGTCAATAAAAATCGATCTATATGAAATCTTATAATAATTAATAATTTTTACAAACAAAATCAAATAATTCAACAAGTATCATGTCAATCAAGTGAACCTACCCTTAGTTGAGCGGCATCTAATCCAGGAAGAAGTCCTCCGTCTGACCGGATCCACGTTATATTTGGAGCGGGTACGCCTGTCGCAGAACATTCAAGGTTGTGAGAGTGACCCACGTCCAGCTGTAACACTGCCACGTTCTTGCTGGTAATAGTTGGCGGAACTTAAATATGATAAAATTAGTTAAGAAATATTAATATCACAATAAACAAGAGTGGCAGATTTAACTCAAATTAACATTTCATTTATATATACATGTATACTGATTTAAAGCACCTGCAGCATCATATATAATAAGGTACTGACATACTTCAACCAAACCAATTAATAACTACATGAATTAATATTAAAACACATAACTTAATTAACATTATTGTTTTATTTAAATGAACAATTAATTCAATTAGTCAACATATGCAATTATATGTAGATTAATTTGTCAATATTTGCAATATTATTACAGACTAGTCTAGTAATTAAGAAGAGGTCAAAGACAATTTATTCATTTATATCTAAGCCAGTCAAGTTGACAACTATATGCACAATTTCTACACAAAGATCTATTCTGTACATTTATATCTTAATACCAGATAAATTGATGTACAACTTCTACATAAAGATCTAAATGATGAATAATTTACATATAATTTACATTTACCTTGGACAATAAGATGCCCTATTTTTGAAGGCCATGATGCCGAGCCTCTGATTTGAATATAACATTTATAGTAACCATAATCCACGACTTCTAAACAGTTAATCACCAACATGTACGTTATACGCTTCTTGAATTCACGCTTTACTATACCGTACTTCTTTGAGCCCTCTTTACAAACTTTGTTTTCAACAAATATGTTTTCATCAGTGGTAATAATTTCACCACCGGACTTGGAATCTAAAAATGCCCAAATTACCTGGAAGGAAAAATGGCTATCTCAAAAATGTTATCATAATAATATTGTATAGTTATTTCATACAACATGAGATTGTGCAGTTAATCACTCGATCAAAAATGCGCAAAAAGGGAATGGAAGTGACGAAACATATACTTAATTTACAAAACAATAGTTAATACATGTAATCGAAGTATTATGTCAAAATAACACGAGCATTTCATACATCTAAACATCATCTATACATTATTTCAATTAATAACTAATTTAGTGGACAGTGCACAAGAGTTGGATTCTAAATACATATAAAATACATGTAACATGTTTGTAAACTTTACAAATGTATATCGTTAACATATTCTAGAATACAGTGATCAACATATAATTATGATCGCAAAACAAGACAGATAACTCATGCCTTTTCATTCAATATTTCTTTGTAATTTACGCAGTTCATATCAACTCTGAGGCAATGTTCTTGAGTGTATTCTCATTGTAAATATTTACATTAAGAGAGTTTATTAGACTGTTTGACTCTGAATATTAATAAGTAATAATTATTTATACTTACAGTATGAGCATCCTGCTTATTTACCACAGTACAGTTAAGTTTTGCCTGTCCGCCCTGTGATGTAACTTCTGGTATAATCTCATCTACAATCTCTGGGTCCAGCTGACATTTTACTGTAAAACAAAATAATAAAATTGGTACACATTTTATCAGAAATTATTAAAAGGAACAAAATAAACAAATAATAAAAGGTTGATTTATATTCAATATTAACTCTGTGACTGTTGTATATATAATTAAATGTTCTGGCTCACAATTTCTTTGGTTTGGGAGTGAATAGTCCAACTAATGAATCAGGGTTAGCTCGGCCCTAAAATATACTCGGCCCCCAGAGTCAGTTCGGTTCTATTCCAGCATTGGCACTGGTCAACTCGGCCCACTTTTCAATTTATTGATATATTGGTTTTATCACTATTGTTGGAACCAAATAATTAATATATGGACTTATTTACAAACGTGGAAAGATGTTTTCATAAATTATTACTACATTTTTGGTAATGAAAGAGTTTTCAATGATTTGGGTAATAAAAACTTATTATAATTCATCCTTGTGACATTGCAAAATACATTGCATGTTAATAAATGCATTACATGTTGTTTTATGTATATAAGATAAAGAACATTTAAAAATATTTTATAATAATAAGTGACGTATTTGATATTTTAGTGAAGATTACTTTACAAAAAAAACTAAAAACTAATTTTTTTACGAATCTGCAAGAAGAAACGAAACAAATTTCTTCTAAATATACTTTAATTCTACAGAAGTACTATGTACAGTTATAAAATAATATCATCTCCTACGCAGAGATCTCCCATTATCAGTACAATGCTGCCAAGGGAGGTAATCACTGTGAGGAGGTTATAACAAAAATATACCAGATATCTCTTATTTTTCATTTGAAACTACTTGCCTTGATAACATGCAAGTACAGTAATATAAAAGTTAATACGTTTAATATGTTTTTTTCCTCATAAGTGGGCTGAGTTGACATGTGCCGAGTTGACCCGTTGATATAGGGCCGAGTTGACTCTTTACCCAACTTATTGTAATGCACTAATTATTGTGGGCAAAGAGCCAGCTTCTGACCCAGAATAAAAATGTCTCAGAATATCTAGATTTGGCAAGTCTAGGTAGTAAAGTATCTTGATCCCCATTCAGTACATTTAAGTTAATCTGTATTAGCAATTTATGTAAATAATCAGCTTCATATTTTCTTCATTTGTTAAAGGTTTTTTAGAAGTTATTAAAAGTTTATCTAAATTGTTTTCTACTAGGTTTTCAACGAACATTTTCATTATATAACAAAAACTAGAAATGTGTCCATAGGACACGGATGCCCCCACACGCCACTGTTCTGTCAATCTTATGAGTCTAGGTCAAATATTTTTTGGACTACATGTGCCACAAGTTGAAAACTAAAAATCAACAAAGGGCCATAATTCTGTTAAATTTGGTCGCAGCAAAAATTCATTCCTTTACTACCATCTACACATTTAGGTTGTTAATCCCTGGAAGTTTAAGCAAAATCTGCCATCTGGTTTAAGAGGAGTTGCGTTCACAAAATTTCTACATAGTATATAGTGAAAAAATCAACAAAGGGCCATAATTCTGTTAAATGTGGTCGCAGCGAAAATTCCTTCCTTTACTATCATCTACACATTAAGGTTGTTCATCCCTGGAAGTTTAAGCAAAATCTGCCATCCGGTTTAAGAGGACTTGCGTTCACAAAATTTCTACATAGTATATAGTGAAAAAATCAACAAAGGGCCATAATTCTGTTAAATTTGGTCGCAGCAAAAATTCCTTATTTTACTACCATCTACACATTAAGGTTGTTCATTCCTGGAAGTTTAAACAAAATCTGCCATCCGGTTTAAGAGGAGTTGCGTTCACAAAATTTCTACATAGTATATAGTGAAAAGTCAATAAAGGGCCATAATTCTGTTAAATTTAATCGCAGCAAAAATTCCTTCCTTTACTACCATCTACACATTAAGGTTGTTCATCCCTGTAAGTTTAAGCAAAATCTGCCATCCGGTTTAAGAGGAGTTGCGTTCACAAAATTTCTACATAGTATATAGTGAAAAAATCAACAAAGGGCCATAATTCTGTTAAATTTGGTCGCAGCAAAATTTCCTTCCTTTACTTCCATCTACACATTAAGGTTGTTCATCCCTGTAAATTTAAGCAAAATCTGCCATCCGGTTTAAGAGGAGTTGCGTTCACAAGATTTCGGGACGTACGGACGGACAAGTGCAACGCTACATGCTCCCACATTGTTGGGGCATAAAGAAAGAGAGCTGTCAAAGTTTTCCAATACTGGCATCAGTCGCTTATTCTGCTTGTGAGTTACATTTTCATATCATGAGCGCCATTTTGATTTCACAAGGAAAATACCTGTGCCGATCAGGTGAACTGCGACAACAGCAGCAATGATCCAGCAACTTTTAAACATGTTCTTGGTTGATCAGCAGCGGTTGATTACGTTGTAACTTAAAACAAATTCTTTAAAAGTATCGAAATATTAAACTATTTATTGTTGAAATTCACTTCCGGAATATTCAACTTGTTTGTGTCACCTGTATCACGTGCCTTCAGGTACAAAATATTTGTATATAGAAATCATTTTACACGAAATATTTTAGACAGCATTTATATTTGCATATGTATTAAATTAACGAACCTACCCCAGGAGTTATTCTACCAGTGATATATATAACACTTCAACTTTTGTCATCATTTTTACATGCATACACTTCGTCTTGAAAAATATTGAAGGTATTCTCTATGGGCGAGTAGTTCTATATAATTAAGTCTTATCCAGCACCCGTAAGCTTGAAATAACTTTAGGTTATATTATCACCGCTTAAATATGTTTCATTAAATTAATGCAAAAATGACACTGTCACGCATCGCGTATGAAGAATATATTTTTCATTTACGATAAAATAATTAATTCTTGAAATGTATTTACCGTAAAGGTATGAGTAATTGCGTATGCCCAAACTTACTTCCGTAGTATTTTGATTGTAAATTTTGAGTAAAATATTTGGAAAATGGAATGAAAACCACTCAAACAGAATGAATTATAAAGCACTAATAGTTTTGTTAACTACTTTCGTATCCACATATTAGTAGAAAAATGTCGTTTTTCTTGCGATACTGGTTTTGGTTACATTATTTACCTTTTGGACAGGTAAATTCAGTTCAGGTAGAAATAATTTCATTTTGTAGGAGACTTAAGTGAATTCAAAAATCATAACTGTTTACTGGAATGGTTGCTATACTTATATATCAAATAGTTACGTTAGTTCTTTAATTAAAGCCTTGTTTTGAATAATGTATATGGTAGGATTGTCCGTCAGATTTTCTGCTTTCTACCTAACAACTTTCTTCTCAGATTTCCCCTTCCGTTTTAATGAGTGTCAGCACTTATGTAGACTTTTATAACCGTTTTGATAATGTATGTATATGATACTTTGGTAGTCTTTGTACAAGTTTTTAATTGGACAGGCTTGGTTAAAATTTATGTATAGGCCAAATAATGTCCAATCGAGATTTTTCTCTGGAATCTATATAAGGCAATTTCCCATGTTAATACACATAAATATGTCCAGGAGATAATATTATATTATAATATATTATATATTCAGGGGTCTTACAAATAAGCCAGTCGGCGATCGTTATCAGTTTCACGCTAAGATGTCTGCAAAATTCGCCATTTTTCTTAAACAAGCTATTTGTATAAGACAATGGTGCAGCAGTATTTATATTGATTTTTTTTGTCAATTTAAAGCTATTAAATCGGTATATCAAAGTTACCAACTATCCTGACATATTGACAGATGGAGTCAGTTAGTTAATTTTACAAAAAAATATCAGTAACTTTGTATATATGAAGATAATAAGTTATATAGCAGGTACAAAAGCAGAGACATAGATATTATCTAGATGTTATTTACATCTCTGACGAAAGTTAAAATAGAGAGAAATAAAGAATCCCTAAAGAACGTACAAAACGACAAAATTGAAAATGTTGCAGGCTCGGTTTGATTGAGCCTGTTCATGGACGGTAATGGAATGTGCAAGTAGCCGTCCACGCCCACTATCACCAGCTTAAGTGGTATTCAACATTTAACATGACTTGGTAAAATTTTGAATTTTGAAACATCCATGGAACCTTCAATGTGTTACGTTAGTGCCATTCCATGAAAAGTGGCATATGGTCCCCAAGTAAAAAAATGCGTTTGCTCTAAACGAGAAAACAATGGGTAGAACTAAATAAAATTGAATTTTGAATGGGAATCTGAGGTTATGAAGCCTGGCTATACCACAATGCATTAAACAAGGAAAAGGTTTAACAAATACTCTATTCCTTCCTTTATTACAGTTATGTCTATTCATAATTACATAATATATTGTAAGGTCTGATATGACATTGTTTGTTCGTTCTTCAAATAGTGTCAATAAAATGCTGCAGTAGAAAAAAGTACTTGCAAATAAAATGAGAGAATATGCAATGAATATTTCATGTAAAATTATCCTACCCAAATATTTCTATGAAAGCTCAATGAATTAAGATTAAATATTTAGATACATCTGTTTCAATAACATCATACCTGATCACGGTTTTAATTTAAAACCGAGGTCTCACGATCTGGTACGTGTATGCGAAACTTATTTTGAAGTGAATAATATTGCGTTTTATCACGAAAAATATCTAATGTAGAAATATACATATAATCATAAATCATACTACAAAGTTACGCAAGGGCAATTTTCTCATTCAATTTTAACAATTTATGCAAAAATACATTATATGTAAGTGATTTCGCACATAAAACCCTAAAGACATTTGTAAATGTTACTGTGCAATTGATATAATTTTACTATTTATATGTACCGCTACTTCAATTTTAACTATCTTTTAATTTGTAAACTAAAATGATATTTTGTCAGAAACATCTTCATTGAAGTCAACGAGAAATCTAACAAGATCTTTGCCAAACGTTTTACTGTATTCATAATTAATGCATAAATGCAGTTATGTGTTACTTTTTTAAACACCATAATACATTGAACTATCCAAGAAAAGCATTAATTTTTTATGTATACCAATTTATATAAGGTCAATTCTTTAGTCACTTAAGTTGCATAATAGTTTCCTGTAAACGTCGGTATTGTGTTTTATCTAAGAATCTGAATGATAGGGTCACGTGAATCAGTGGGCGGAGCAATCTCTTCTCTGGCGTATTGTCAATTATATGGGGAAGTCAATTTGCGAGCTTTGGCGTAGCGGTGCTTGTAATACCAAATGACTTAAAATGAAAAAATGTAAAATAAAAACTGAACAAATTGTTATTATCTGACTTCCCCGTCCACTCGGTCCATAGGGTTCAATGCCTATTTACATATTATAGATCTATTTATCTTCCATTATTGTCATACATATATGTGATTACATACAATACATTTATTAATAATTATTATATCAGTGGGTTTCCTTGACTGATGATATAAATTTCATCAAAATTAATGAGACCATATATTTTAGTTTAGGACATTAAATTAATTAATCATATCAACCATTCCTATACATGTACTTTGTGTGAATTAACTTCTGTAACTGCCTTATATATATGTATGTAATCATAGCAATGATTGATATATGCTATCTGTCAGATTGAATGGTTAGATAATTCATTTCCTGTAGCTCCCAGTACATAATATGATAATCATTAGCCTATTTAATATAGATAGACACTCCCTTATATTCCAGTACTCCAGGTTAGGTCACATGTTAATCAGCAACATACTATCCTTTATACATTTTGTTTACTTAATGTTGTCATGGATAATCAATTTCAAAAACACAAACAAAAAATCTTCATTTTAATTTACATTCTGGCAAAACTTCTCTTGGATACTGAGAATTTAAATATTTTGACAGATTTTTTACAAATCTATCCTATGACTAAATCCGAAGTGAATATCTATATACATTGGTCATGTTCAGTATACAAGACTCAGAAGTTCTTTGAAAATTTTTAAAGCCTTTAAGGGTAAAAATGTTTATCTTACTCATTTGAAAACAAATCATGGTAGAAAAGTGGATGCTATCCAGCTAGCTAATGGGTGACCGGTAGTTCTATTCAGAAGCCTGCTTGTGTCTTGGCTAAATGCACGAAGGGGCACCTGAGGTCTTCCTCCACCAGTAAAGCTGGAAAGACCCTGTATCAGTGTGACAATAGAGATGTCCATCAATTGGTAGTTTATGGATTTTCAGATATTTTTGTCAATACTTTATTGTACATGATTATGTTATCTTAAAAAATCTGCTGTTAAGATATTATGCCTGGCTTTGAATCATATATAACATTAAAGATGCACAAATTAAAAATTCACTGCAACCATTGGTAACTTTCTTGTAAGAAAGATACTTGACATGAAATACGTGTTTTTTTCTTGTCTGCCGGCTTTATTGTAATGCTGGGAATGCAGGAATTTGGGCCTCCATCCAATATAAATTTTAATTTCATCATACATAATAAAGTGCATAAAATGAAATACATCCTATAAGCGAAACCAAGCAATGTCAAGTTTGGTATAAAAATATAATTGTATATTCACAATTTTAACGCATGATTTGTATCTTTATAGATTACAGAAATAAAACTATTGGAGGATGACTCATCTGCTAAATATTCATCGGAAGTCTGTTTTTATGTTGACAAGTATGAAATAGTGTAACACAAAACCACTCAACTACTTTATATATTTATTGGATGAAAAACAGTTAAAAAAACAAGCAACAAGAAATTATGTAACTGGTGATGATTGAATGGAAATGGGAAAACAAAGGAGATCTTTTAATCAAGTGTTGAACTGAAACAAATAAGCTTGTTATAAGAAAGATTCTTAACTAAAATTTTTGCCACAAGAAATTATGTAACACAGAATGATGAATGGAACTGGGAAAACAAAGGAATATTTTAGTGTTGAGCTGAAATAAATTAGTTTGTTTACAAATAAGCTTGTTAAGAACGATTCTTAAGTAAAATTTTGCACACATTAAAAATCAATTAGAATCATAGTGTGTTTAAGTCTATTTGAACTGTTGTAGGTGTGATTTAAGTGTTCAAAAATGTAAACACTGTACTGAATTTGATTCAGTGTTGTTTTAAAAATAGGCATTGAAGTGCATCAGGGGGGGATAAGCAAAGGGGGAGGGGATCTGTGAGGGGGAGGGAGGTATTTGTGACAGATTGAAAGTGTGAATGTTGTTAGGATGTTAAAGGGGAGTGATTTGATTCGTAAATCGAACATATTTGTGTCTATTTGTTGGCTATTTCAGAGTGTGTATATATTTATAATGGAGGAAGGTAGTCTAGTACTGGTGTAAGTCTCCAGGAACGATGGTTAGGAAACTACCCGCCAATATGACTGAACTACTGTTGGGAAAAGGCGTAAAATGAAACAAACAAACAATATATTTATAAAAAATGTAATTCCTTGAATTGCTATCATCATTTAGATGTAAAGACATATTTACAGAATGTTGATGTATTTTGACTATAAGCTGCTCTAACTTTAACA